TTATTGGAACTGGTTGTCAATGACTAATTTGCATAATTTTGTTATTCCGAAACCCGCGTGAGTATAGCGAACAGACTGTACACGCTCTGTTTGTTAATAAGCGATGAAATGAGAAAAATCGGGGGTTCTGACAAAAAAAATTATAGAGAAAGGTATTACAGACATTTTTTAAACAATTTTCTTCTACAATCGTAAATAACAGATATTTCTCGCAGTAAAAAGAACAACACCCTGTAAAGTACCCCCAGATGCTTCGACTATGCCAAACATTTTATCAGCTCATTGCAGGATGGATTAAAGCTTAAGGCAATCAAGAGAAAAATCGAGAAAACCCATTTTCACCGTTGTTGAACGATATTGATTGGCTGCTTTTTTTAAGTGGTCCATTTACACAAACCAAAAGGACACTTTTTATTATTTACATCAAGGGGGACTTTTTTTTGATTAAATACGAATCCTTTCAACGCCATTTTGAATTTTTTAAAACTTATTTGGTATCTGTTATTTTTGACTTCTAAAATTCTCAGATGCCAGTTTTAGATGAAATTTGCCGATTTTTAAAAATAAATTATTTTTTTTAAATTGCTCATCCTGTATATAACTGACTGGAAGTATAACTGGGTTTGAACCAAAAAGGTTTTTCTCTATAGCCGTTTTTGAGCTATCGCGCCGACAGACAAACATCGACAGACCAAATGACAAATGGGGAAACATATGTTTTGTAATCTAGGGATCCTGAAACGTAAAAATTGAAAATATTCTCGGAGAGTGACTTTTTCGTGATTACAATATTTCCCTCTTATCGAGGGAATTAAAAAAAGAATGAAACGATTTAACATACATATAAATCTAAAAATCAAAACCATTAACATAATATACATAGTTTAAACCAATTGAGAGTATTTCACATTGACGTAATTGGAGCAAGACGAGTTGTTTTCAGTAGTATTCTCATTCCACGATTTTGAAGTTTTTGAAGCATGTTTAATTCATTTAATAAGTATAAAATAGATGTGTAATACTCAAAATATGGCTGACTTCTGGTATTATATACAGTGATTATTGGCCTCAGTTGATATATTTTGGGAATTTTTTTTTATAAATATTAGTTAAAGTTGAAATCACAAATATTTAACATTAGAAACAACTTCAACATGTTCATTATTATTAATATTCAATTTTATCATTTTAACATCGATATAACCATATTATTTATTTATTTATTTTCTTTACGGCTTTATCCAAATTCGAATCAATCATTAGATGCTATTAAAGTATCGTCAGAAAAAATATTAATGAATTCACAAATAACACACAGAAAAAAATTATCACCTACCTTCAAGAAAAGCTTTACACTTGGAAAATTACATTTGTTTGAAATAAAGCAGTTTGCTTCAAATAATTTTTCTCGATGCAATAAGAAAATAAATATTGAGTGAAGTATACGCATAATCTTGTATTTTAAGATTTATAATAATTAATCTAAGAATAAATTATTTCATTCGAATCTAGAATTCTTAATTAATCCAAGAAAGCTCTTACGTTTATTGTAAGTATTATATGCTCTTAAAACCGACTATCGCATACTTGATTCAATGTTATAAAAGGATTCGATTCAAAGCATTTAAATTTTAGAACAAGAATTAAACAATTCGAAACAAAAACCTGTGTACTTCACAAAAGTTTAGCGAGTACAAATTCACTGCACGGTGTTGCCAGCTGAAACTTATTTTAAAATGCAACCACTGCACTGGTACGGTAGATATACGACTGGTACATGTTGAGATGTGATACTTATTATTCGGAAGTCAGAGACAACGCATTTATAAAGAATATGGCAAATTGACATTATCACGTGTTTATCCTATTGTCTATTTTCTAACAAGTTTGCGTCGTATCGTTAGGGTTGCTTTCTATTTTTTGTTAGAAATTCTTTGTGATTCAATTAATAAGTGTATGAATAAATTAAATTGAAATGGAAGATTTGTTAGATGGATGGGGCCTTAGCGACCTGATAGCAATATTTAAATGTAAGTATATTTAGTTCACTTCTTGTTAGCTATTATATATAAGTAAATTTATAATCATAAGAACACGAAACAAACTGGAATAGAAGTAAAAAAAAATGTATGATACTGGATGATGACTTTTTGGAAAGACGACTTCTGCCATGCTAAGACAAGAGGTCGTAGCTACGAAATTTCCGATTTCAAAATTCTTACAAATTTAATAAGTTTACATTTTATTTTATTATGACACAAAATAATAAAGGCCTATTTGCATTAGAAAATATTTACTATAATTATAAGAAAAGGTTAGTAAAATATGCAAAACTTATTTGCGAAGTCTAAAAGGACGTAATTATCTACCTAACCACATTTATTAAAAATATTCATCTTGTAGATACGACCTCTTATCTTAGCAGGACAAACTTTTATGTTCCATTTAGGTTTTGTGGTTATAATTTTTTTTTTAATTATAGGTGGGACACCTCAGAAGACAGAGGAATGTGGTATATTAATTAAAAACAATTTTGAAAAATGTTTTTCGGTGGATAGATACCAGTGAGAACCCTATTAAAAAGCAAGAACAGTCTGTTCTTATTTCAAGATCATTAATTTCGTCAATGAAACTATCCTATAATTCAACCAAAATCAATATATTTATGTCAAAGCCAATATTAACATTTCTTGGAGCAGTTCATATTCAAATTTAGTTGTATTGGATTTAAGAACAAAGTATTATTGAATATAAATAAAGTATATTTAAAAAAGTGTAAGATTTTCATAATACTGCAATTGAGCAATATATACTCTTCATTTAATTAGAGGTATTTTAGTTAGGGCAAGTTGATTTTAATCTTGAAGCAAGGCTTATTAGCTATTGTTGAACAAGTATTACTAGAATTTCAAATCGAGACGAATTTTACTTGCGGATATACAAACACAACAAAGCATTGAAATAAGACCATTCATCTTGAATATAGTACACCTTTTTTCTGTGCAAAAAGTTTAATATCGTTAATGTACAAAATATAAAGAAAAGGACCCAATACGCTATCTTAAGGAATCCCCATATCATTTATGTTACAGGTTGTTTGGTCAACAAAACGCACTCTGCTTGCGATTATTTAAATAATCAAACCTAACTTGTTAATTATTATAAAAAAAACTCTTTTTTACTCCAAAAATACTGTAACATATTTATTTTCGTCTAATTTAGTTTGAATCTTATAGCGCTGATTCACACAAAATTTTTTTGTAAAACCCGACTGGTGTCATATTACGATCGTATTTTCAGAAATATGAATCATTAATTGATTATAAATAGCAATTTCTGTATTCTCTCAATTGGAGTCAAATGTATTAGTCTAAATTCATCAGCATTATTTAAAATTAAAAAAGATTTTACTCTATAAACTGAATCATTACATGAAAGTAACACCCTGTATACATTAGAAATGTTAGCAGAAATATTTCAATGTTGACCTATTTCACACCATGCAATAAGCATAGTTAAGTAATTTAGATTCTACTTTGGTTTAAATTTTATGGACTTTAGGTATTCGTAATCTGTCTAATTATTTACATTTTAGTTGCTAAATATAAAATGTAATTTATTTAAATCGATTATAGCATTATAGATAGAACAGAATTCTTTTTAATAGTTCATGAATCATCGGCCCTGGCCTTGGTGATACCTATAAATAAATTATTTTAGCAGTTGCATTCCTATCGTTTCTGTTTCTATCACAAATATTTATTGTCAGCGCCCAAGCCGGTTGAACACCAACACCTTAAAATTACTGTTGACCAAAACACAGTGGCGGTTCAAGCACTTGGAGGCCGATTATGCATTTTTTGTATAATTTGGAGACTGTCCTTAAGAACACATTATTTAATTAAATATAAGCTTGAAATAATTAGTCGGCTTTATTCTGCTGTAAATAATACGATTAAGCTTCCACATATTTTTCTCATTTTCCATAACGTGATTAATACATTTTTTTCCAATTTTCTGGCGTTACTTCAGTTATTGACGTAGGAAATATTATAAATATATTCAAGATGATTGGATTTCTTTGTAGGCATAGAAATTCATCAAATTGAGTACCTTAAAATATTAATTTGTATTTCACCCTAATTCGACCAATTCTTGAATACACAGCAATTGTTAGGTGTCTAATGTATCAAAACCATATAAAGCCTTAGAAAGTACACAATCGATTTTTTAAATATATTTTTCTAAATTACATATCTTATCAGAATATTTTATGTAAATTGGCCCAAATCGCCTTATTTTCATCCCTAGATAGAAACTGTGGTATAATTTATGACATAATTTTAGACGCTCTATATAATTTTATATTACTAAGCCACGTATGTATGTAGTGTCAAAATATTCGCCAAGAGATGTTTCACAACTGATAATTAATAATCAATGATTGATTGTATACAGATTAGAAGAAATTATGACAAATTTATTTATTTTGGTAGATTAATCTGATAATCCATATGGTACCAGATTTTCTGACGGATGATAATATTATGTTATCCTTAAACATTTATCTCTATAGAAATTGCGCAATTAAATATTGATTTATAATAATTTTCTGCAGCACTCTTTTGTCGATTGCTTGAAAAAACATTGTACAAACAGATCAGTGATCCCATTAATTACAGGATAAATCTACATTTACTTATGACTGGTTTCAAAACCTTAAAAATTAAAACGTTTTGTTGAATAATAGCAAAAGCTACAAAGACAACTATTTTATTTATTTAACCTAGTGGGGGTTAACATGAAGATAAATACTCTTCTGTAAACGTATAGAAAAGTCTTCTGTCGAAAATAAGTGTTCTGGCACAAATAATTCTTCTAATTTATATTTATCTAATAATATTAATATATTTTAGTAGCAAAAGAGTTCATTAAAAGAAATTATTTAACATTATTTGATTGGTTAACAAAATAATCATGAAACCACTTAAATTTTGCAGAATTCTAATACGGAGTATATGCCTACAAAATGTCGAATAACGAAACCAGCCCCTCCGAAACCAGCCACGAATCCTTTACAATTTATAAAACTAGCACCTTGTCCGCTGTTTCAAAAAGCCCAAGAACAAATAAAAAAAGTGGAAGAAATCAAAAAAGAAGAGAAAGAAATACGAACAGAAGTTGAAGACTGGCAAACGGTAAGTTAACTTTATGTTGGTCTCTAATCCAGTGGCGGTTTGCCCGTAAGGGCACTTAGGCACGTGCCCTAAAAAAATAACTTACATATTTTATATTTTCCTCAATGCCTATTATTATTTTATCTAATATTCAGCGCAAACCGCGTTGGCACGACACTGGACGACCGGGCGTTGAGCAACGTTCCGAGAATTCCGAAATTAAGTGGAAGATGGGCACAGTAAATGTGTGCCTCTGTTGTTTTCTCTCTCATTATGATGCGAAAAACAAGGACAACGACAATATCGCTTAGCAAGAGATGAACACATGCGATGGATTATACGTCACAAGCGGGGTGCTGTCCTCATTGTGACGTGCTGTACCCATGGCACAGATTACCTAGACCAGATACGAATGTACGCAGCGGCATCTTTACCGGCTCCCTCACAAAGGCGATGCCAGTTTCGGCTTAAGGTGCGCGTTTGTTGGACCATGATAATAATTTATTTATTGTGATTACGAAAAAACGTTAGTTGGACCATTGGAATAGTTAAGAAATAAAACTACAAAGAAAAATAACTTTTTTTTATAAAGTAGTCAAAAATATGATGAAAAAAAATCAATAATATTTATAAATGGGACAAAATTTTAATTTTTCTTTTGGTTTTGTCTGACTTTTTCGAGGATTTCAAATCTCTGTTTGCATATTTAAGAGTATAAAAAATTCTGAGTCTTATAAATAATTTAATGGTGTACATTTTCGCAAATTGTTGGCAAGGATGACCAAATTCTATTTTGCTCATCTCAAAATGGAAATTCCAGGCTTAGTTGACAAACTATCAAATAGAGATATAAATATTTTTCCAATTTGAAAATATAAAAGAGAAATTTTTCGCTGGGAGATTTTAAATTGCCAAACACCTTTTCTCCAGAGTCGTATGCTTTAAATGCGTTAACAAGTTAGAATTGTTAAGTAAATTGTATTCTTCTGAGAAATTTACGCAAATTTCGCAAGAGTGGATATGTAATGATTTTTTGATTAAATAGCCACATACATAGTTAAATGCATTTTGAGTGGTCACATTTAGCTCAGAAATCGTTATTGCCCCAACTGATTGTTTTGAAATATATTTAATTTTCATTAAGCGGAGAACTTGTTTTCCTAAGGGAAAAACGAATCCCGGGATTCCTTTCCAGTGTGTGCCCCACTGCCGCTAGTGCCTACGAGCCGCCACTGCTCTAATCTAAGGTTATGAATAAGAGGATTTTAGAATCACCCTGTATACAAAAATTAGCCGGATCGCTGGCAGCTGCGAAACACTGAATGAGTGATCGAATTCGCAGAGGAAAGGGACTCAAACACCCTTTGTGGGACCTGTAACATAATACTAGGAAAGATTAAAATAAATTGAGAGTAGTAGAAGATATTGAGTGCAGATTCTGTGAGGAGGAGGACGACGAAACTTCCATTCACATTCTGACTGAATGCTTAGCACTACAGAATACAAGGGTACTATTCTTAGGAGCATATCAATCAAAAAAAGTTGATTTATCCATTTTGGATACATGCCAAATCCTACACTTCCTTGAAAAGATAGGATTGGAAGGATTTTGATAGGCATCGAGACTAATTCCTTGCTGCATTAGCGATAGAAGGGGGCACAATAGATCTTTTAGGTCGCAGTGTATTAATACCCCATATCCAACTTAGCATCGGGGTGGTAGAAGCCCACCAAATGGCCACTTCTCAAAAATGGGGCATCTAGTCCTCTCGGCCATGTTATTAACCTGCAGGACTTTGAACTGAGATGCTGGCAATTCCTAGACAACCAGCAGGTTTTTGACGAGTTGATGACTCACTTTGATAATTTCTTTCACATCTGTTTAATCAAAGCGATACCTGAAAAACTATATTTTTATTCTGTAATGTTTATGTCTATATTTTATACGTATATGTGTATTGTTTATTTATTTGTCTGTCAACAAGATTTTATCTTAGACAATAAACGCATATTTTCTCTCTCTCTCTACCTCTGGAGGATGCACGATGAGCCTGATGAGTCATGAGTGCTGTGGAGATGATTGAAAAAAAATCTATATTTTTTTTTAGAATCTTGATAATTGGAAAAGCAGCCGTAGAAAACGCCAAGAACATATCATAGAAAGGGTAGTAGAAGTTAAGAAGCTTACAGAACAAGAGGAATATGAGAAAAGTAGGAGAAAAAGTAAAACATTTAGTGAAATGATGGAAGGAAGGTAATAAAATTTTCAAATGAATTTTAATATCAGTATCTAGAAAATTAGAATCCAACTAGTTGTATCTTTTCATTCCAATCTTTCTTAAATGGGTTTAAATAGTTTTTGGTTTTAATTTTAGAATTAAAGGTAGACATAAATTTAATATACCTTTATACGAGGATGATTCAAACGATCTTAGTGACTATGGAATTGGGAGCAGTAGTTCAAAAACCAACAGTATCAAAGACCCTGATACAGACGACAGTCTTTTAGTGAGTTTTTTATTTTAAAATGATACGATGTTAAATTCATATATTTTATCTAATACACTATCAAATAAAATATTGTATGTTTCAGGACGAAAAAAGCAACCATATGTTTGATATAACTAGTAATAAAGAAAACTCCAATATATTTAACCAAAGCCATAACGAAGATGAAGCTAATAACACCAAAAACGGGACCAAAATCAGCAATAATAACAGCTTAATCACTAAAACTTTTTCTTCTGTATATTCTACTAATCTGAATTTATCCCAGCCTAAATCTGAAAGCCTAAGCAAATCTTCCCTGTACGATATCAGTATATTTTCTGAACCTAAAGATACGAAACAGTATACTTACGAAGGAGCTATTGAAGATTATAGGACGAGAATTCAAACTATTCACTCAGAAGAATTTAGAAACAAGGAACCTGCTGAAACCCACCTACCAAAAGGAGAAATTTTCAAAAGGAAAGACCTTTTCGAAAAGCAAACTGTTGAAATTGGTACATTAGCGTCTTCGTCTACAAGAAGATTATCAGATATCGGTACAGTAAAGAGCATCAAAGACAGATTGAAAATCTTCGAACAAAATAATGATCAAATTCCTAAAAGCGATCTAAACGTTTTCGATAAGCCAAAACCGCAAAATATTACCAAACCCGACGACATGGACAATGCAAATAACATCGTGAACAAAGCGAATCTAAACAAAATGAGCAACTATCTCGTAGGTAGATCTAATAGTGGCGATTTCGAAAAGAACGATAACAGATGCTTCAGTCCAGAGACAGAACTTTACGTCAACAAGTTGAATATGTTCAATAGAGATCTGGATAATTTGATGATTAATAAATCTTTAGATGAAAATTACACGCCTTCGATATCTTCGACGGAGCTGACGTGCGTTTCTTCAGACAGAGAGGATAGCGGTATACACACTGGAGATATATCATGCTCTGTGAGTCAGGCTGATGAGACGGCGGATATAGATATGGAAATAAATTCTAATATCAATGACAAACTAAACGAAAATACTCATACTCAATTCGAAAATGATTTACACAAGTTCCAAGATGAGTTACAGCAACTTAAACTGTTTGATATCGAAAATAGGAACAGATTAGATATTGATGATGACACATTTAATATCGACGATACTAAAGAAATTAAAAATGTAACTGAGGAATTTTTAGAAAGAAATAGGAGTAATCTAGTTCCAGTTCAAAAATCAGTCGACATCAAAGGAGTTGATGATAAAACTTTACCCATACCAAAACCAAAGCCTGTAATTTACGAAAATGTTGATATTAAGAAATTTAACGTTCCGACGGTAGATTTTATGACCAGTGATTTTGTCCCTTTCTCCGACTTTAACGCTCCCCCGATAGAGCCTCCTAAAGTAAAACCGCCCCCGCCCCCTCCACCTTCAGATGAAAAAGTAGTACCTGATCATGTTAAACGCGCTAATTTGAGATCCAGCTTCTTGGGCTTGGAAGAACCAGAAAATCGATTGAATATTTCTATAGAAAAACCTCCTGATTTAACCAGTTTCTTACGGATGGAACAGAAGTTGGAAAAGTCTTACGATAGGAAGTTCTATGAAAATAATGAAGGAGGTGTTCTGAATAAAGTAGAGAGTCAGGATTCGGGATTGGATGTGGATAGAGGGAGGCTATCCAGTGATACGTGGTGCAGTAGTGTTGGTGATTCCAGTGCAGCTAGTCATGAGAAGCAAGCCAGTGAGGTAAATATATTTATGTATTCTAATTAAAGGACTGGTACACATATTTGACTCTTGCAAACATAAGAGTATCCATCTTTCGTTTTGTGCTATCTTAACCAGTCTATTCTCGCCTAAGATAAACAAAAGAAATTAACACAAGCTTTGTTTGAAGCCAATACACAGGGTGTCCCAAATTTTAGCGGTAACTATAAGAGTTATAGGGTTGGGTAAAATTTTTAAATGTTTGCTAGTTTTTGAATTATTTTGCAAAATGTCAATAATACCATTTTATTATTTTTTATTTTATACTGTTGTTTGTGGAGATATCAAAAACTAGGTATTTTTATTCTCTACAATATGGCATAATATGTTGTTGAGTACGACGTTCCGTTTTTTTTTGAGCTCATCATTTTTTTTTAAATACGGACCTGAAGTCTTTACCGATTTCAATAGGAATAAAATATGCTTTTTACAACTATGTTCCATACTGTATCATTTTACGATGTTTCGGGCCTAAAAATCATCAGTTGTTTAAAATTTAAAACAAGCAAAATCTGAATTTTTATTTAAAAAAAATATTTACATTTATAATTAATAAAAAATAATTTGAACAACATATTGAAACAAGACACTAATTTTTGTTTTTTTATATATGTATCTTTTTACTTTGCTGTCTATATACAGATAAGGAAATCATAGTTGGAACATCTGGGGGGTACTTATGTCGTTTTTATACCATATGGAATATATCTGTTATTTACGCTTGAAGAAAAAAATTCTTTAAATAAAAGTTGCTTCTAATGTCATTTTCTATAATTTTTGTCATATTCTTAATTTTCCTAAAATGGCCCGTATTCTAGAAATTTAACTAAAAGTGTTAAATTCGAATTTTTAAGAAAATTGTTCAAATAAAAGTTACTTGTGATCTAATTTTCTATAATTTTTGCGCTGTTGATAATTTTTCTAAAATGGACCGTATTAAAAATATTTGAGGAAAAGTGCAAATTTCGAATTTTGAAGATAACTCAAAAACGGATAAAGAAAATAACACCAAATTTCAAATTTAAGCTTTAATTCAGCCTATAATAACTAGATAGGAAAGTCATGTGTTGGAACACATCAGATTTTTCTCCTTCAATTAAACGGTTCACTGTGTCCTCCAGTTTTTTTTTCTAAACAATTACATCTCTTTAGAAATGCTTGTGTGGCTCTCCTTAAAGTATTTTGATTTATGGCTACCATAGAGTTTCTTACTCTTTCTTCCAATGTAATAAAATCTTTAGTAAGGTCAGAGTTGTAAACATGATTTTTTGTGTCCCCACAAATAAAAATTAAGAGGTGTTATGTCGAACGAAAGAGCAGGCAAATGTAACGAACTATTGTTATATATTATTCCTATCTACGGCTAAAGTAATAATAATAATCTTTATTTTGAGGAACAATCATAATACATATAAGTAAGACAATTATTAAACAAAACAGTGTCAAGGAAAATATATTATCACATATTCATTAATTGTTTATGGTTCTAAATTAATTAACAATTCATGTACTTCCCTTTTAAATACTTTAACATTTGCTAATCTTTTTATCGTATCAGGCAGTTTTTATTGTACAAGATTGTACTAGATTTATACTTCTCAATATATATAAGCATTCGTTGGTTCAAAATTGAAAATAATAATAAAAAACTTAGGCATTCCTGGATGTATATGCCTATCACATGACTCTCTCATATTCAAACTGAGCATAATCCGCATTATTCTTTTTTGCACTAAAAAAAAATCCTTTCAATTAAATTGCTCCCACCATATTTTATTGTGGATTTAAAATTTGCAAAGTATACCATTTTTAAACTATCCCATTGCAAATATTTCTTCACAACAGATCTGGCTCAGTTTTGTACATACAAACTCAACATGGCTTTCCCAGTACTGAAAATTAGCGTATAGCCCCAGAAACTTGGTACTAGTTGAGTCCTTAAATATACAGTTGTTTGGTTGAGTATTTATTGGCATTTCATCTCTGTAATTGGTTTTAAAAAGTACCACATTTTTTTGCCCTCATTGAGTATTAATTTATTTATTTCAAACCATTTTTTAGCTTTAGTTATCTCTCTCTGCATTTAGGATTAATTCCATCATATCTCCTTAATTAATTATTATTATACAATTTTAAATCGCATACTGTCTTCAACAATACCCATATCCCACATGGCTAACTTGAATGCCATCAGTTGGATTAATAATTTCAGTAGTAACACTGAAACAATGTCACTGATCTATTTGACAGAATTTAAATAAATCTCCTGTGGCCCGTGGGCTGCCATGCCTTGTATAGAGCATAGAGGATTAAGTCTTAAACAAAAAGAATATTCAGATTATCATATTAAAAACCCTGTATTGACCTTTTTGATATTTTACAGCTAACGAACAGTAATATATCTGAAGATGAAATAACCAAAAAAGAACGGGAAATCATAGAGCTTGTGGAGAAAGAAGAACAGTACCGTGATATTGTAGAATACAGAAATAAAGAACCAGTAACCAAGGCCTTCAAACCCAAAAATCCATCCGTTGTATGTGAACCGTCCTTGGGTAATCAACAATTCGACAATCCGTGTTTTGATACGGTAAGTAATATTAGATGAAAACAGTATTAAGAACAATGCCATATAATGGAACCTGTTATAATATATTGTGGGTGTACAAGGAAAATCCACTAAGTCCAAATATGTAGTGTTCAATATTTATTAGGGAGTGGAAAATAAAATAAAAATTACAAAAATTACCACGTTTATTAATGAATTGACTGTAGTGGAATTTTTTTTAATAAAAGAAACAAAACTTAATGAATTTTCCATGTATGCCCACGTATATTAGTTTAGCTTTAACATGCCTTTTAGGAATTGTACTGTCGATTTTCATCTCTTTCTATCTTTTATTTCAATTTGAAATCATTTTGATTGATTTACTTGGAAACCCAAGCTCTCATTGGGCTTCTATTTATTGAGTTTAAAGCTCTATTAAAGTCGATAAATATTGAATTTTCAATTGGATATTATTTATTCAGCAGCCGTCCGATTTTTTGGATCAAGATTCTGAAGTCCTCAAGGTGGAACAAGAACTCAGACAACTAGAACTGGAGGAGCTCGAACGGCAACGAGAAAGCTTGCTATTTAGGGAAACTAGAGCTAAAGCTCATCTACATAACAGACATTCTATGGAAAACCTTGCTGACCGAATGTATCCTCCTTACTCGTACGAGAACCAAGTTGACTGTAGAAAATCCATGCCAGAATTAGTCATTCAAAAGTCTTCCACATTAGATTACGGACATTCTGTGCCTGTCAGTCATAATTATTATGGGTATGAGAATGTTCGAGATTTGAAATGCAGTAACTACGTAAATCCTGGACATTTAGTGGATGGTATGTATAAATGTGTCTTTTGGCACCTCTACATGATTAACATTTTATGCCACAACATTGACAAATGATTTAAAACTCAGGTAATCTCGGAATACCAGTGGACTATCGAAAATCAATGCCGAATCTCCAACATACCCAGAAAAAGTCCAGCCCAGAACATCAAAAACCCCCTGTAGAACCCAGTGTAAGTCCTATGGAACACCGCAAGTCTATGCCGGAATTAGTTTTAGATGTTCAATCTCCAATACGTCCAAGGCCTGCGTTGATCCCTCCAAAGCCTGCTATAGTTAAAGAGAGGAGTCGCTATGAGCAGCATAACGTTAAATCTCCCACCAGGCATTTAGGGGCTACTCATCGAAGCAAGAATGACAAAATCAATAACGAAGGAAGGAATTACAATCAGCATTGGTTAATTCAGGTAAATTTAAATCAGTTTTTGATTTTTGGTCATTAACATGTCATAATCCTGTCATTCTTAAACTTTTATATCAAAATGTCATCTGTTTAGTTTTGTTAAAACTGAAATGTTTTCCATAGGAGGCCGAATTAAGGCGATTGTCTGATCAACGAAAAAATTTCGCCAATAACAATGTCACCAGGCAACAGCCGATGCAAAGTATCCCAGCTAGACCATCTATGGAAAAAATACAACAGCCTATACCGAGGTAGGTTATTGTATCTCTTAATTTATATAATTATTTATATTTTATATACAAATTAATGCAAATAAAACATAAAAATAGCAATACACAATTTTTCGTTTTGAACGTTTTGTTTAGTGTTTTTTTCTTTATATAGGTTGAAATTTTGTAACAAGTTGTTTCTCATATCATGATGAGAATAACAAAGTGTAGATGTGCAGTGGCATAAATCAGAAAAATATTCCCTAATTTAACTGATTGGGGTATAAAAGTTAAATTAATTAGTTTGTGATAATATATTACCTACTTATCAAGAGTAGAAGGTTTAGAGGGGAGAGTATCTAATAAAAAAGGAATAATTGGCATATCTCGCAAATAAAAAAGAAAAAGGCCATAATGCAAACAGTAGTCACGTGTTTGACTGTTGGTCTTCATCAATAGGCACTTGTGAAATCAAAATAAACCATAGGAGATCACTCATGGGGCCAACTACACATTTGTGGCTTTGGCCAACATAGCCACAATTTTGTGAGAAATTACCAGCATCAAAGGAGGTAGTTATAGCCACCAGGGGAATTAAGAGAAGAAGGTTTAGTGCAGGGAGTATCTAACAAAAAAAGGAATAATGGGCACATCCTGCAAATAAAAAAGAGAAAAAGGTCATAATGTCAAGCAGTAGACTCGTATTTCTGTTGATCTTCATTAGTACAGTGCAACATGGAAATGTGAAATCGAAATCATGGGGCCAACCACACATTTGTGGCTTTGGCCAACATTTGTTTTAACTTATATTTTATCTTTCCTTTTTTCTATGATTTATCAGGACATTTTTTGACTAAAATTTAAAAATTCGTTTAGTTATATCATTCTTTTGTGGTACCAAAAGCGACGATTGTGTAATTTTGTAATAATTTCTGTCAATTTTATATTAGTTGACAATTCATTATACATTTTAATCCCATTAAAAATGAAGGAATCTTTTATCAGTTTAGATTTTGGGAATGGGTAACTGCAACTTGTCACGTCCAACTAGTGTTAGTGTTGTTATAGGTTGATTTGTTTTTGTGTATAATACAAAAAGTTTCAAGAATAAACAACTTTGTTAATGTTAACATTTCATATCTAACAAAAAGTGACTTACATGACTCAAGATTGTTCACTCCACATAAAAATCGTATTGCTCTTTTTTTTTTTGGAGACACGATAGTATTGAACAACTCACGGCTACAACCTCCCCAAAATGCACTTCCATATCTTAAACAGGACTCGGCTAAAGTGTAATATACACTTTTTGCTGGTTTAAAACCTGATTATTTTGTTTTTTGGTTAGGAATTCTGTGTGGTTCTTAAATATCAAATTATTGTCTAAATCAATACCCAGGGGAAAATCCGTCGGTTCCAAACATTTCTTCCACTGTATGTAAGGACACATGTAGACGAAATATAACAATGTAAGGATTATAGAGCCTGTCTATACAGATTGTTCCTTAATGTCATGTTAATATTGATAAAGGTTCATAAGATTTCATATAAACATGTGATCTAAATTGCTTTGTTTTTAAGAATGTTAAAAAAATTCACCCTCTCAGGGGATGAGGGGACCTCAATTTCAGTTGATTTGTTCCATTTTATTTATTAAGAATCGTTTACTCTAAACGAATGCATTATTTTCTGTAGCTTCTAAATATTCTAAATAATATTTGGAAAGTAAAGCTTAGAACAAGGTTTATGATTTTTTTGTAGAAGTCATCGTCAGCCTTCGAACTACGCGCTGCCAAGCATGTCATATTCCACACCAGTTGTGCCTAAGGAATCGCATGATAAGATTTTGAGTGTTAGCGGTAAAAAGAAGTGTTCGTATTGCGGTAATGAATTAGGTAAGTGAATTCATTCAATGAATTATAAAAAAAAATGTTTTGTTTGGTATAGACGTAAAACTTGAAAAGGTGGGATAGAATTTCGCATTGTTTATTAAAACTTGTAATTTTCAATTCTCAAATGCTGAGTATGAGATTTGCTCATTGCTTTCACTACTCTCACTATTACGCAAGGCCAGCTATTCTGTCGAGGTGCCTTCAACTTTATTAGGAACATTTTTTTCAAGCCCCACACGTGTTAGAGTGTACTTGGATGGCTGATAATAACAAAAATGGACTCTGATCTATTTTTCTCTTTACAATTCAACTGTAATCCACCGTGCAATCAACTTAACCCGGTCTTTTCCTGAAATTCCCGTCATATGTAGCTAAATGCTAATTATCTATTCTGACTAGTAGAGGACACCTTTTACCCTTCTCACCCAACATCACTTATCGTTATTTATGTGTTGAACACTACATATCACTTCATTCTACCACTCATTTGGTTCAACAAAAATAGCCTACATTTTACATTAAGTCATTATTAATTATGTTTATTTTATCACATTACATATATGTAACTTAACTCATTTAAGTTACTTTATAGTTGTTCTACTACTGACATAATAATTTTTATTTATCATTGTACGTTTTATCGTTTGTAAACCGTCTAAGATCTTAGGTTTGTATATTGTATTTTAACTGATTAACTTATTGTCTACTATCATTGCTATTTATAGGCTTGAAAATGGCTTTATATGCCATTATTTGATTAAACAAAATTTAGGATAGATTTTGAGCTTTATTTGTCTCATTGAAGATGACCACAGTTGAGAGGTAGGATTCCATTCGGAGTTTAATTTACTGGATGTTTTAAGATATCATTTTAACCAAATTGAATCTTTTCTGTTGGATTTAAGTGATCTCTGCTGCAGGAAAGATTGTTACGCTAAAGATCCCCTTTAATTCAATAAGGAGTATTAAAGGTTTTGTAACCTGTGGGTAGTGCTGAACAGGATTTATGTTGGTATTGATCCCACATATTTTAGTAAATATCCCTTGTGCATCCAAAAATTCGAATGTCAAGATTATTTAGCTTCAGGTACATAAGATGTGTCGATGCTAAAGATTGGATTGCTAAAGTGAGTAGAAAATAAATAGGAAGGAGATAGATAGGTTGAGTGGAAGAGAGGATTTACCCTTGCTTGCAAGGATTAGACTTAACTCTGCCTTTTGGCAAATATTGTATTATACTTATATGAATTTTTTTTGTTCTTTGCAAATAAAAGCTTGTATTATTAGATAAACCGACCCACAGTTCTAGAATACAAACGCTTAATTACATATACGTCCTATATGAGCGCTTCTTAATTTGGCTTTTACTTATTATTTATTATATTTAAGTAGGAAGGTCAATTAATTTTTCTTCATCATTACATTGTGTAGGAAATCATCAAGTTCTTATCCTGTAAATAAACAACGGAATGAGTATTTTTCATTTAAGTTTACTTTTCTTTTACTTTAGGAAGAGGAGCTGCTATGATAGTTGAAAGTCTTTGTCTTTTTTACCATATGGATTGCTTTAAATGCTGCGTTTGCCACGTTCAACTGGGCGATGGTATGATGGGAACTGATGTGAAGGTCCGAAATCAAAAATTACACTGCCATAACTGCTACTCGAGTGACGATGGCATAAAATTCAGCTGTGTTTAATAAATATTAACCTCAGTCAGTAAGGTTGTGTTAAAGTAGACTCTGTTAAAAAATATTTATTCGTATAAAAATTAAATAGGTCATTTTGTACTTGATACAGTTAGGTGGATTTTTATTTTATTTTTCTTCTTTCCACTCTTGCAATACTTTATATTACTGTATTTGGTCTATTAATGTAAATATGATTTTTTTTTGTAAATATAATTTATAAATGGTATTTTGTTATGTATATTAGTTATATAGTTGGTTGATTTGTAATTAAATTTTATATAAAACTTAAAACAATTTAACGTTGAAAAGAGATGGTCATATTTAGGGGCCATTTTATTATAGAACTTTTTTTTTTATTTATAGTTTCCACTCATAAATAATAAGCACATCAGATTATTATAAATTGTTTTTAATTTAAAAGTAATAAATCTTTTGTCATTATTTAAAAGAACATAATAATCTTTTTTTTTTCTGAAGCGCCACTGTAAACAGTCTGAGAACTAATCATATATTTGTTGAATGTTTAAATAAAAACAATAATGATAGAAGGAAATACATTTTAATACTCTTTTAATTGGTCACATTCAGTTTTAATTCTGCCTTTGATTTTGCTTACTAGATATGTACTTTGTGATTTCTTAATATTACCCAACCAACTACCATATATACGAATGGATATCATGCTTCTACAAATTTCATTAGCGATTGGAAGTAAGAATGTTTATTTCTTGCTGATGAGTCCTAATAATGTATGACTTTCTCCTTAGTAAACAAAATCAAAGCTAAAATGTTAAAAATAACGATCGTTCGACGTTTCTATTACACGATATCTCTGAGTTAATCTCAGTTTTCTCCATTTTTATTATTAATAACTATGGAGTTAACAAATTAGTTCTTGGACGGTTCAGTGTAAATTTCATCAGTGCAGTGCCCAATCCTACCATTCTATCGAACATCGCAGCATTTTTCAGTGGTGGACTTGCAGTATCTTGATTGGTGATTCTACATTAAAAGGTAAGGTCTTGAGGTAACATGCCACGTTATTATATGATTCAAACATTGTGTACGAAAACAAACCAATTGATTTTATTTTAAATCGGTTTGTTTGAGAGATGTTGTCTAAAATAAAGACGTTTGTGTATGGAAACTCAAAATTTAATAATTTGAAAGTACGAGAGGTATTTTTTGAATCATTTTGTATGAAAAACATATTTCGAGAAGGTAATAATGTAAAAGTGTTTATTAAACGTTCTATAAATTTGTTTATTTTCTAGTAACATAATTTCCCTTAATGGTCTTAAAAAAAGTAGATATGGCAACGTCGCATTACATCAACAGTTGTAAGAACCGATCGACATGTTGATTATTTGACATTTTGCCAAATTTTAAAATTTTTATTGTGATTTCTGTGGACTTGTTTAATTTTTAATTTAAAATTAATTAAGTATTCAAAAAATGATGTTTAATGGTTAAAAATTGAGTGTTGATGTGAGTTAGTTTTATTTGTGTTATAAGTGATTCAACATAAACAAGAACAGGTTAGTTTTACTTATAAATATTACCGATTTTAATTTTGTGCAAGGGAATTAATAATTTTGAAATTTAGGTAGGTATTAACAAAGATTTGAGGTACATTTTAGTTTAATAAAAATTTTTAAATTATGTATAGTCGGTTCAAAAGTTAAACATAGTTAAAACAAAAACGACCTATGCAATAAGTCCCATTTTCTTCGATTTCGAAAATTTTAATTTTTCAGTATTCTCAAACGATTTTTAATATATAGGAACTGATTCTTTTATTGAAATTTAGACATTTGATTCTATGTGTATGCCAAATTTTAGCCCAATCTGAGATCATGAATTTTCTCAAAAATGAACAAAAGGAACCTTAAAATTTTTTTTAGCAAAAAATTGTTTTGCCTCATATATAAAAGATAGCTAGGTTAATTACGGGGCGCGTTACCCTAAGTTATACAGTAACAGGATTAAAGAACCTAATTTTCCCGTTCTTTTTAAAATACCTCCTAGAATAACAGGAGACCGATGAGTTATGGAAATTCGTTTTGCATTAGTTACTTAGGGAACTTAATTTTCTCGCCATTTTTAAAATACCTCTACGCCCTTCTGTTATCCTGAAACCTCTTACCTCACGGACTGTTTCCGAGGTGTCCAAAAGTATTTTGGGACTCGATTTAGTTGAAAACAAAGTCGCTTCCAGTGAGGAATCCCAGGGGGGCAAAAATCTTACCAGCTTACCATTTAGTGCGCATTGCGTCGATATTTAAAAAAGAATACCTAAATCTTTTGGAAACAATAAAATGACAAACTTTAATGCTGGATTTTTTAATTACATTTTACCATATAATAGGTACGTGCAGGATTATTATTTTGGACAATCGGCATCTATCAATCTTTTAAGTAGTTTGGTTCAGTAAGGTAGCATATGAATACGATCTTCTTATTATCTGAAATATAAAATAGTATGAGTCTAGGAAACAATAATATAGTAGGTAGATTACATGAGGACACTTGAATTCCCGTCAATTACAATTTTAACCCCGTTCCTAGAATTCCTGACAAGCAGTTGAAGCTTGAGATAATCCACTACTCCGGTTCCTGTAAGGGTTGAATTTAATGAGGTGAGTAGGTACCTACCTCAGGCGCCCGATGCGGTCAGCAATTAAAAGGATTATTAAATTTATTTACTTTCAATTATTTAATAGCTTAATAAATAACAATTAAATCGATTATTAAGATGAGGCCTCAATAAGTATATATTTAGGTATGTTTCGCAATATTATTCATTATTACTTTAGTGCCTCTTTGTGTATTTTTATTAATATGGATCTTCATGTAATAAGAAGTGAAAAAGGAAAACCTCTAATTTTGTTAGAAAATTATAAGTTTTACAAATATCGTATTTTAAAAAGTACAGATGAAACTTGTTGGTGTTGTGTCACGAAAACTTGTTGGTGTTGTGTCACTGGCAGTCCCCGAGTGCCACACGTATTTTTTTTTCTAAATAAATATTTCATTTTTACTCCTGCCAGATGTAAATAAACAATAAGAGCTTTACGTCCTGTGTGCGTATTTTTGTCGGGTTACCTTTATGTTTGTTTTACTTCAGAAGTTTTTTTAATACAAATTTTATTTAAAATGCATCAGTAAACTAGACTGAATATATTATATAATGCTTGGTATTCTATATTATCTCTCTATCTGTAACGTGTGGAGGGTTATTCTATATCATACTGTTCACAGTTTAACACACACTCCCTCCGTTTTTAATCAGATTTTTCAGAATCAATAGGCTTTGTCCCCTTATAGACTGATTTTACCAAAAATTTAATGATATCTCTTCATTTTTGAGATTTTTTATTCCAACGACTCCTTTAACCCTTTCATTTTTATTCATAGGTTTCGTCCCCTTGTAGAGCTTGATTTTCCTGAAAATTTCAAGTTGATATTGTTTTTTGTTTTAAATTTGTTTTTTTTTTAATGTAGTTCTTTCCCATATTTTATAACGCATGTATTTTCACTAGGGTTGTCGCTCGCAACGAGTTCTCCTATCTTTTCTACAGAATGTCGAGAGACCGCGCGCTTGAGACTAGCACAGACCGCGATGCGACGAGGTCGCGATTCTCAGCTTTAGAGTTATGGAATTATGTTCCTAGGCAATGGGACACAATAAACAAATACAATTTTTAATCTGTGTTTTATTATTTAGTTACATTTTGAATTTCATTTATTATATACCTAGCTTGCTCTAGTTCATAAAGGATTTTGAATATTTTAGTTTTCATATGTCCAAATAGTAGTCAGGTGTGAGGCCTCCATGGCATAATCTAATAATTTGGTCATCAAAATAATCTCTAACAATAGTAGCTTTAGTGTATGAGCTGTTGCCCCATCTTTGTTGAAAATTACCCATTTGTAGCTCATCATGTGGTTGATATTTCTTTTTGCTTAGAAGAATATGGGTCCTTTTAGTCTTCTCCTTGAAACTGCTATCCAAATACCATCTTTTGCAATGTAGACTTGTTTCAGTAGTAGCCCTAATAACTTTAGGGACTATTATTACCTATTATTATTATGGGTGTTGGCCACTTGGTCGCCGCGGTTAGTTTTGTCAGCGGGGTTCCGTAATCTCATCGACCACTTGGTCTCCAGTTTTAAAATCAGGTAGGCCTCTTGGTCGCCGTAGTTATCAATCATTAAAGGTATCTATTTCGATTTATTGAAAATAATATTTTTAAGAAAAAAATAGTTTAACTGATTTTTATTATTTTCCACGTGAATAGAAATGTTTAACTGATATGATATGGTACAGAATGTGGGTCAGGAAAAGAATAAAACCAAATTAAAAAAACACTTATAATTAATAGAAAACAATATAAAATTATACATAATAAAAAAAAGTAGGTACAAAATACCAAATAAAAATTATTTAAGAAACCCAAATTGCAATTAGTTTTTGTAATGATAAGAAACTACTTTGATAAATTGAGTTCGTGAAAGGATCTTATTTTTATATTGTTCTATTACGTTCGTTAAATACGCATGCCGTTTTTTGTAATTAGCGTTTTTAATTTTGTTAGGTACCTATATGTGTACTGTTTAATTTCACATAAGTATTTAACTGAATATCGAGAATTACATTAACAAATTTGAATATATCGGGATGCGCCGAATAAAAAGCAGAATTAAAATGTTTGTGGAAAGACTCACAAGCATTTGTTGTGCGTTCTGTGGAACTTGTGCACGATGCCCACATTGTAGGCGGGAAGTCAGACGTATCACTAGTATACGTATTAATCATATAAAGAGTATATGAAGTTAATCTCTCGTCAAATGGCATTATTGGAATTAAATCTTTACAAAAACACTCTGCCACTTCAGTACTTTCCAAAAATAAAATGCCGAAAGTGTAATGAAGCCATTTGCCGATTTCAGAATTTTCATTTTTATATTCGGAAATTAAACCAGATTTTGTATCTTACGTAACCACGATTGGGTTAAATGAAATCTACATCCAATAATTAAGATATCAGGCCAAATCTGTATAATACCAGTGTATGGCTTTCTCAAAATCGCAAATAACTTTACACAGCTTCCAATCTAAATTTAAATTATTATAACAGTAATCTTTTAATAATTTAAATGCAGTTGCATAGGTACTTGCTCTTTTATCTGGTAAAACAAAAAATGCCAATGGTATGTAGTGTCCGTTATCAACAGCATGTATAGTGAAAAAGTGTAAAAAAAATTTAGGGCAATAATTAAATGTGCCGTCGCAATAAATACTATCACGAGAACACAAGTATTTTAAATTTGAATCACATGAAAATAAAATAATTTGTGAATCTTCATTGTTAAATAATAAAAATTGTTCACCCTTATTTGTAACACATTGTATTGCTTTCAGTACACTATGAACATCACTGATACACTTTGGCAAAGATGGCAATATACTTCTTCTTGCCCTGTATATGCTTCGTCTGATGAGGTCAACATCCGTAGTGGATACATTAAAAGTATTTCCTTCCCCTCGGATTCCGTTATTAATTAACTTACTGGGTTTAACGCAAATATCTTCTGTTGCCTTTCTTTTCAATCCGTTTTGAAGTTTTTTTACATCTAAATGGTCCGATGGTGGATGATTGTGTTCACTCTTAGATTTCAATAAGACAGTTTCCGAATCGTCCACTCCAATAGTCGCTTTACACCCACGACTAGTACACTTATATGATACACCTAACTTTGTTTCCTTGTCTTTTCCAAATGTATATTTTTTACAATTAACAACTTTTTTCCTTTTACACTTAACATCGACTCCATTGCAACACAAACTCAAAACTTCTTTTATGGAATAATGAATAAGATGAGAATCACTTTTAAAATAAAAAAATTAATCTTTTCAGTAAGAATGCAGACAATTAACTGATGAAAAATATTTTTATTTTAGTTCTCGACAGGTCACAAACCGATATTATAATTAGAGTAATTAAATAACCCCATAATTTTCTTGGAACCCTTAATCCAGGTTTGGAGACCAAGTGGCCTATACCTTTCGAATAGCGAAAGGATTAAATTTGGGTAAAACTGACTGCGGCGACCAAGAGGTATATTCCCATTATTATATTCCATTTAATTTTAGTTTACAATGAAACGTGTTTGATTACTGGATTTAAAGTGTCTTTATTTGGTTATTCTAAACTGAAGCCAGCGTTATCGCTATATAGCAAAAAACAGTTCAAGATACCATAAGCGAAACAATTGTACAGGGTGATGTCCATATATAATGATACATTTTATTAAATATATTATAATTTCCACAAATGAATGAGGATTCTCAGTTGCATAATATTAGTATGTAGTAACAATACCAAAATATATTTAGAACCCTTTACGTTAAATCTTACAAAAAAGTATGGGCAACTTAGTTTGGTAAATGGAGAACTTTTCTATGGTTTATTGGTCCATTTTTAAATTTTGATTGATTGGGACAGATAACAATTCTGATTGTTTTATTGTAGTACTCGGAATGTACTATCACAGAAAGTTATTATTCTGTGGTACTGTGTTTTTAAAAAATTACATGTTATGGTTCAATCTGGGCAGTAAAAAATGTCAGGAACTTGTGAAGAATTCTGATAGAGTTGTTACTTATACAATATCCAATATATACATATTTATATATCTGCAACTGAAAAACTTCATCTTACCCGTAACCTCTAAAATTGTATCCGATCTTTGGCGCAATGACAGGTGACAGCGTTCGTCATACATTTTATTATTTCCGGATTGAGCTATAGTAAATCTTACCATCATATACAGTGGATAACCAAGGAATCCAAATGGTGCTGCTAAGCCGATAGGAATTTGACTTCGGGCCAATATAAATCTGACGTCTTTCATTGTTCTCCAATCACACAAATACCAAGAGGTTGAATAAATAGCATCTTTTATAGAAGACGACTAAAATTTGATTTAAAATTATAACTATGCATTTTTGGCTGAATACTTGTTAAATAAAACCAACTAGTTTCTTTTTTTTATTAGACATTATCATAATTATTACAACCTTTTTCCACTATGAAAGAAACCTAATTGCCAAAGGCGATCGAAAATTTATGCTTATATATATTAGATATGGTTATTATTTTTTGTAATTAGGTATATTTTCTTAATTAATTGTTAACCTGATGATTTTATTTTATCTTTTTCCATTTGACTTGTCCTGTTACTGTTAACAAAATTCATTTCCGTTGACTTTCTCTGAACTTTTCCAAATTTAGTGGATTTAAAATCATACGTTTTAAATATTTTTTCTGTTACTTGCATATCTAATGAATGTATAAATGGATTAATACATATTATTACATAGAGACATCAAAATATTGTTAGCATTTGTCTCAATTTCGTTACTTCGTTTTTTTTTTAATATAATTGTCACACTACATATCTTTCTACTCTAAAAAAGTCTTACTTCGTTAATGATGACTTGTCCTGCGTGGCATAAAGCAAAAAAACCTATGCAGAAGCCAAATAAATGCATGAAAGCACGAACAGATAGTTCCTAAAAAAATAGGTTTTAGTTCCTTTGACAATGCTTTCAATAAACAATCTTGTACATGGCTAGAAAGGTTTTATTTTTTAATTTCTAAATCAGCATTATAATGATAAATTACGCTCATGTATCCATGCAGCATTTTTTTCTTTGTCTTTTATTAAAAATATATTTTTTCAAACCATTCGGACTTTGATCGATTTTATCAATTAAATAATAATAAATTAAACAATTTAATACTAAGGATTAAAATAGGAAATAAACAATAATACAAAACAATTAAAATATATGGCACTCAGAGGAATGGCTGTCAGTATGCAATTTGCTAACTTTAGTGGGTGTTTAATTCTTATAAATCAAACTATGTACCCAAATTATTTGATTTTCATACTTTTTTCAGTGTATTAAGAACGGCTCCAGGCTGAATTTTCGGGAAGGGGTGCCAATCAAAAATCTACTGTAGTGGTTGCCTACGTTAAGGCAGAGTGCAAGCTGAGACGCAGTTTGTTGAAACCGAGTTTCTGTAAAACAGAAATTAAATACCACAGCGAATGTTAAAGTGACTTAGTTTGTATTAATTTCTGTGTTTCACACAAACTTACGATGTCACTTCACCTCATCAAACTGCGTCTCAACTTTCGCTCGGCTTCAGTGGCACCTACTACAAGATCTGTGATTGGAAGCACTAGCTTTGTTCGGCTTATTTTTGAGGACGGTTTAAAATCGTTATAATCATGTGCATTTAAATTTACGTGTTCGGGTTTCTCCAAATCTAGTCCTAGGACACTCTAGGATTGACTGTTTCGTGTGTAAATTCGTGTGCAACTAATTTCACGCAGTTCTGAAACGTTATAAAATTGGTAAGCCGAACAAAGCTAAGGAGTAAGGAGTTAAATAGTTGTGGTAATGATTTAGGAAGACATGTTGCACATCTGCCGCACAAACATCGTCCACACACAGGGCCGCCGAGATCCATATATTATAACCTATTTTTTTAAAGCTGCCGGGCCCTCCTTGTCCCCCTCTGGTCGGACCTGTCCACACATCGACATTTATGACAGCACCAACGTGTTAAATCGGTCTCCTAGTATAATACTGAAATAATTAAATACGTACATTCATACTTTGATTTGCAATACATCCAATACAAATGCCTGATGAAAGGGTGATATCTCCGACTGTAATGTTCACTAAGTAACTTAATTCATGTCCTAAACTGAAAAAAAAAACCGTAAATATGTTTAATATAGTACATTTTTTTGAAAAAGTAAAAACAGGAAATTTTAATAATATTCAAAATTCGAAGAAACAATTTCCCAATCTAATTTTGATTTAGGACAAATGGTTAATCGATAGAAAAGCACGATAAAAACTCAAAAAGATTTGTAATTATATTTCGACTCCCAAAAATAATTATATTGAGCTCAAAGAGTTTGAAAATTCTAAAAATACAAGTTCCAAAGTGAATGTCGACTTGGAAAAAAATGGTCAATGTATTTTTCGAATTTTGATCACCTTTGGGGACTTTTGAATTATTTTAGGAGGTGGTCAAACGTTGATATGTAATTTTAAACGTCTTTGGATCTTAATTGTACCTTCCTAAGATTGATCATTTTTTATAATTTGTCCCTTGAAACTATTTTAAATTGTGGCTAAAAAAAAATCTAATTGGTGGTCAAACATGGTTGAAAAATGGTTAATTCTATGGTGCATGCAATTTTGAAAAGCATAAACTTTGGAGGTCAGCAGGCACTCAGCCTTTAATTCTGTTAAATATTTATGTTTCGAGGGTGGTCAAAAAAGTTACTGGGTGGTGAAATATAATCAATAGATGGAATTTTGAGTGGGGAGAGCTTCACACAGCTATTTTTTGCATCACATTTTTTTGTGTTCATTCTTTATACTTACTTTATAATATGTTTATGATACTGAATACAATATTTAATTTTCTCGGTCTTTACACGGGGATCGTCTTGTTGAAAAGTATTGATGATTAATTCTTTGAAATAGTTAACGTGTGATATTAACATTAGAGTGACATTATAAATCAAAAAAATGACAGATACTGTAGACATGAAGATAATCGAGCAGAACAACAACTGGCACGCGCATACACTCCACCAAACTGTATTTGTAACTTCATGGAAAGGGTTCCACAATGGTATAAGGGAACACATCTCATGTAAGTTTTCTTTCAGGTTCCTTTCTTGACATTTTGGATATTCCATAATTGATTGGCCGGAATATAAAAACACGGCTACCAAGAGACAAATCTTATTATTAAGCCAATTTTGAAAATATATTTCAAGTTTTTAATAATGGAGTAAAATTTTTACCAAAATTCGCTTTTTTCTCGAGGTAATAAAATTTGCCCAGGTTCTGTTTGTATTTCTAATAGGTGGATTTTAAAATATTGGTCTTTATCAATATAACATATCTTATATATTTACCCCCATGAAGCACACTATATTTTGGTGCAAGAAACTGTCTTATATAAACTGTTATTACAGTCTTTTCGCTATACTTACGCGGGTTTCGGATTAAAAATGTTATGAGCATTTCCAGGTAAGTACCCGAAAGTTTGCTGTTCTTTGGGGAAATATCAACTGGTTAAATGAAATGAAAAATAATGTACAACTTTTTAATTAAATAATAATGGAGAATCTTTTGTATAATTGAGAGCAGAATTAAACTTCTTCATTAATGGAGTCTAATGTGGCTATTATAAACCTAATAATAATTTTATATTACACTTCACACAGAAAATATGGTCTATGTATAATAAGAGGGTTATTTAGCACAAATCAAATATTTTCTAACATAAAAATTTGATCCATGTAGAGAATTTCAAATGAAAAATAGAAAAATTGAACTTGCCAACAAAAATGAAAATCAGTCATTATCATCCAAAATATCATAATCGTCATCATCATCACTGTCATCACCATTAATTGTTATTATGATTGGACTTATTTCGTTTATTTTATTTTCACGAGTCCACCAATCTTCTATTAGTTTCTCGCACTTGGATATACAGTTCCGCCACACTTCTGGAGTTGCAATTGAAAGTGCTTTTCGCCAAGTTTCCCGAACTGCGTCGTCACTATAACCATTAGGCCCAATATGGTTGTCATAATATTGTTTTGCTATTCCCCATTATATATTCGATGGGATTAAACTGGCAATGATACGGTGGCAGACGTAAAACTTGATGACCGTAACTTTCAATAATCTGATCCACAACAAAGGTTTTTGGTTTTGCGTGTATATTTGCCAAGCGTAATAATTCTGATTTTAATATATATTGAGGAAATGGTATATGTTCCTTTGTCAACCATTCTTTAATTTTATCAACAGTCCAAGAATTCGTTGGACTTTTGTTTAATACTTCAGAATCTTAAGGTGCATTGTCTAAAATAATTACGCTGGGATCACTTAAACCTGGGAGAAGTTTTTCATGCAACCATTTTACAAACATTTCTGTATTTATGTTATCATGGTAGTCACTGGATTTTGATTTAGATGAAAATATTAGATCAGTACCTTCTATATAACCCGATTTCCCTCCTGCATGTAAAATTATGTGTCGCTTCCCTTCTCCATCGGTATGTTTGATAGACTTTACGTTATCATCTTGCCATATTCTCTTGGTTGCACCCCTAGAAAATATCCATGCTCCGTCTAAATATATAAAATTCGCCCCTTCTTCTTTAAATTTAGAATATTTTCTTAGAAAGTTAATTCTCTTGTGCACGACAGAACTTCTTTCACAAAGGGCCTTTCTGTTATCCTCCTTTTGAAATTTGAAACCCAAGTTATGTATCACTTGCCATAGACTTGTTCTGCCTAATTCCGAGAGAATTGTATTTAAGGTCACATGTTCCTTGTTGCCCCTCATTCGATAAATGGTATCAAATTTCTTTTCATCTGGAATATCTTTAGTTTTCAATGATGGGCGAGTTTTGCGGTGATCTTCTTTCGGCAGTTCACTATTGTGATTTTGTAATACTCCTCTTAATTTGGTTTCACTAATTCCTAAAGCATCGCATACGCGTTGTTGTACAGACATTACCGATTTTAAAGGACTGCCATTTTCTTTTTCGTCCGTAAAATACTTATGTACACTATAAATTAGACTATCTACATCTAACACACGTCTAGGCATTTTTAAAATTTCCACTAAATTTACAATATACATACAATGTCAACACTTGCAAAGAATCAATTCAACTGCAATATTTGTAACAAATTTAGTACCTACCCTAATGTTATTTTAATTTAAATCTGACCATAAGGGCAATTTTACCTAATTTCTTGGGAAGAGGCTTATTGGAACTGGTTGTCAATGACTAATTTGCATCATTTTGTTAATCCGAAACCCGCGTAAGTATAGCGAACATACTTTATTTCAGGCTTAATTTTACTCCACTAAGAGAAATGGGAACATAAAACAAAAATAAATTCAGTGCATATACCTACCGATCACAGTATAAAATAACATTAAAGCAGATGTCATATTTGCCTTTCTTTGCAGTTTTTCAAATGTAGGAGGTTTTCCAAACTTGGAAAAATCAATTACATTTTCGCAAATTCGTATCCATCTTTTGTGCAGTAAGGTAAAAATGATATTGGAAATGAACAAGCCACCAGCACTAAAAACTAAAGCTATATCTTCGCTAATGTCTATACCAGTTCCATCTAGAAGGAAAAATAAAATTAGGACTGTATTTTGGAAGATATTGAGTCTACAGGGACGGTTCTGGGCTTAAATTGTAGCAAATGTAGTCTACTTTAAAAACGTATTGCATAGGTTATAATCGTGAACTAATCCTTTAGCGTTAAAATCCCCAAAATCCGAAGACAGGTAGAACATTTTGGACTTGTTTGGTTTTTTGACAATATCATAATAAAGAACTCAATCAAAAAACAGAAATACCGGATTTAGGGTTGCCACCTTTTTGAAAAGTGAATAAAGGAGTACGAATGTACAAACCATGTCCCTTCCAAAGATACATGCTCTAAGAAAAGACATTTGCCGTAAAAAAGGACATTTTAAGCTTTAAAAAATACAAGGACATTTTGCTTCAAAAAAGGACTCCTTTTCAAAAAAAGGACAGGTGGCAACCCTAACCTAATATGATCTACATATTGGAACATCTGTTAACATAACTCGACATTATACTTTTCAATCCAGGATATTTTCTAATTTTACCTCAGATTAATATTTTTTATTATGATACTTACTCTTGAGTGTCATAATCAAATGTAAAAATATTCCAAGCCAATACACAAACATCAATAATTTGTAAATGGTGGTGAAAAAATAGAAAGATTTATGATTATTTTGATCAGGTATACAACATGTAATAGTTAAAACTTTAAAACAGACAAAGAATGGTCTTTTGTTTAATATTTCTAACATGTCTTTTTTAACTTATAGGTAGGTACCTACGTGAATAAATAATATCTGCAATAACTTCCGTCATCCTCACAGTTTTATAGTGTAGATAATTTTAAATTCGCTATTTTACAGAGTGGTCAATAGTAAAAAATTCTATATATCAGTTAAAATAACTTATATTTTTTTGTAAAAAAATGGAAAATAAAATCATTAAAAATCAATAAATTTCATTTTCTTAACACTTTTTGATTAGATTAGATGGAACACATCAGGCAAATGGCTAGGATTTCCTTTAATAAGGCAAGAACCACAAAATTTAAAGAGGACTGGACACTTACAAATCTCACCTCAGAGAACACAAAAAAATCGTTAGATAAAAACACAGGGAATCACGGAAAATCTACTGCGAAGATTTTCCGCAGGCAATAATGCTTCAAAAAGCTCTTTCAAGAGATCAACATCGCAGTATTTGTTCACCAATCAAAGACGATGGCATGAAAACTGCCAACCTCGAAGATTAAACTTCTGTTGTCAACATATTTCCCTGACTCGGTCATAACAGATGTGGCCGACTGGGCAGGAAGAATACAACCTATTTGTCACTGGCAAACACATTGTAGACGAGGACAACAAATTAGATGGGCAATATATAGCTTCTCATCATTTAAATCGCCTGGACCTGACAGTATTTATCCAGGTCTGGAAGAGCTCATACCACACCTATAGTAAGAATATACAGATTATCGTTGGCTCTGAGGTATTTCCCCAAAACATGGAGTTGGTGAAAGTGGTAGAAAATGAACTGGTTCAAAAACTGTATAACATGGAGGATCTCCAGGCAATCAGTTTTGAAGCCATAAATTATTTTAAATTTTTCCTGGAATATTGAGCAACCCTGTTAAATAACAAAAAATAAGAAATAATGTTTTTCTCAAGTATTATAGTATATAATTACTAGAAAATTATAAATTCTATAGAAAACAAAGCTTTTAACAAAAATATTTTTTTATAAAAGAAAGACTTTAATTTTCGTTGGGTTTGTAGCTCTATAATTATGTAATAACTAGATATAGGTACAACCGAGTTTAGCTATAGAGTAAATAGGTAGGTAATAATTTTTAAAAATGACAAACTAAACGATATCATCAAAGGAATATTTATGGTCTAATGAAAAAGAAAGTCAGTATTTTAAGTAAATAAAATATACTTACATATTTTTTTAAATTTTGACTTGTAAAGTGATATCTCGTAGTCGCAGCAAGTGTCAAAATTATCTAATTCATGTAACCAGTTACATAAAGTTAAACATTATGCATATAGTTACAAAAAGTTCATTATGTCACCAGTTGTGAAAAGGAAATATACAACAAGTGAACAAATAACTTGAAGAAGGCAGGAACATTATTTACACGGATGAAACATCACAACTCAGTAGAAAAATGTTAAATTTTTGTTCTGGAAAGTATATTATTATAAACTAACTGAAATAAAAAATCTGCTTTTGAGAGGGCAGTGTTGTTATCTTCTATAGATTCGATTAAATGGAAAGAAGTAAAGATTTTCGAATTATTTAGATTAGATTTAATTAGGACTGTGAGAAATGTGGCCTCCTCCACCTTCGCTTTTTCAGATCTATTGTGGATATCTTTTAATCATTGTTAAGAGTACCTTGTCTAATTCGGTCTTTTGTAGTAGACTCCATAAACTGGGAAGTACTTCTCCGGTATAGCTAGTTGCCCTTGGTTTTTCTTCTCCAAGTGTAAGGAATCTCAGTCTTGCTAGACCTTCGCAGTAGCACAATACGTGTTCTGCCGTTTCCTCCTCTTCCTGACAGAATCGGCACAAGATCTCTTCTGTCAGACCGATATTATATATATATGTTTGTTAAGCCTACAATGCCCTGTTAATAGACCTACTAGTATTCTAGTATTTTTCCTATTAAGGCTTAGTAGATGCTCGGTGAGTTTAGGCGATGGTCTTTTTAAGAACTCTTTGGCCTGTCTCTGTCCTGGTGATTTTTTCCACCACTCCTGAGATTTTTTAAACATCCACTGCTTTGTGCATGTTTTAATAGTTGTTTTTGTTACACCACAGAAGGGTTCTCGGCCAATAAGAGCATTTGAGGCTCCTTCTCGAGCTAATAAATCAGCCTCTTCATTGCTCTTATGTCCTCTGTGGCCTGGTACCCAGGCTAAGGTTAGTCTGTTTCGACTACCCAGGTCTCTTAGGGCTTCCAAACAGTCCCATACAAGCTTTGAGTGTACCTGCATGGAACTGAGTGCTTTTAACGTCGCTTGACTGTCTGAGTATATGACAATGGTTTTTCCATTTACCTTCTGTCTTAATACCTTAATGCGCAGTGCTGTATTGCTGCTATTTCTACCTGGAATACTGTCGCATATTTTCCTAAGCTTAGTGGGATTCTTGTCTTTGGCTTGGTACTATATATACCTACTCCTGAACCTTCATGGGTTTTGGAGCCGTCTGTATACCAGGTGAATTCTGCATGAATAGGACGTCCTCCCGTCCACACTTTCCTGTCTGGTATACTTACTTTATATTGCTTTTGCAAGCTATACTTTCTCCAACTCTTTATATAACTCGTTGTAGTCGCGTCCATGCAAACTGCTTATGGGTAATGAACCTTTGTACAGTCTGTATGTGACAGACCTGGCTTCGCCTTGAATGAATATATGTAGTGATGTTAGATTTAGCATGACTTCTATAGCGCTGTTGGAGTCATTCTCATTGCTCCCGTGGTACTCAGGCACCATTGAGATGTCGAATGGCTTCAGCTTGCCGAGTCTCTGGCCACCATACCACCGACCCGTAGGTTATCATTGGCCTTATGAATCTGGTATATAACCATAGGGACATTTTCAGTTGTAGTCCCCAATTATTTCCACACAATCTTCGACATAAGTTGAAGGATGTTGTGCTCTTTTGGGTGACTTTTTGCAAGTGTTGATTCCATGTTAACCTGTGGTCAAAGATGACTCCCAAGTATTTGGCCTCTTGAGTTATTTAGGATAATCCTGGTTTTTCGTGTCTATTTACAACTATACTCAAAAATGTTACAGATGTTTTTGTGGTTCCTAGTACCTAAAAACTATCTCTTCAAATTTGTAACATGTTTTGTTTTGTGGAACCCCTCTCAGGTATATAATTTTAATATTTACTCATATTTTGGTAGCTCTAGAAAAATTCTAAAACTCCAAAATTTTAAAATTATGGGTAAATAAAAGAAATAATTTTTGTACAATGGTTAATAAATATATTTAAAAATTTAGCAAACTATTGTTTACAGTCTTAAAAACTTATATAACTAAGTATTGTCTGACAAAATTGAAAATGTTATAAAACACATGGACGATATTAACACATTTATTACACGAGTTATTTTTCTTCGCAAATAAAATTGTGCTTTCTTCTAACAATACAAATTTCTCCCACATCAATTAAAAAAAACTTGTAAATGTTTTAGTTCAGGTAAGGCACTTACATTGTCAATTATTTTCGTTGCTTATAATATTTTCCTACTAAATATCAACACGATAAATTGTATTTAATCAAAATTAGGTATATATACAAAGGTATTTGTAAAGCAAACCGCAAATCCTCCTTTTAGGAGTACACTTTTATGAAATAACTAATTTTATAATTTACTACACATATAACTACTCCACGAGAGTTAAATAAATTCAAAATTTCATTAATTACAACACGAATATTATTGATAACAAAGCTCGTAGTCTGCAAGGTGTACAGATAACAAATCATCATCGAATTATTGTGATTGGAATTGAGCTGGAAATTGAAAATGGTGAATAATTCGTTTTCGTTTCTTTGGTTGATGAAAATTTGTTACATATACATCTTGAGATATTACTGTAAATATTGCAGTCATCTCAAGTAAATATTTATACACATTAAAACTTCTATTATACAGATTGCGACAAACCCATAATTATAACAAAAACTACCTGAACGAAATCTATAAAATTTGATATAGAATCTTCAACAGTATCCGCATCCCACGTGACTAAATTGATGTCATCAGTTGGCTAAAAGTAACATTATAACTTCAATAGTAACCCTAAAACAATGTTATGTGAGATACGGGTATTGTTGAAGACTAGCTATTATACTACAAGGTGTGGCTATACACAACTGGACTGATCGTTCTGATGAAGGGCGTCAAATGGAACACAAGCTTGTCATGTGACATCTCTTTCTATTACTATCAACGTGAAGGTTGTATTCCGCTTTCTTCAGCGGATTAAGCCGTGATCTTCATTCCCAAGATGATCTTGCACTTCAAATTGACACAATCAGTCGGTTAAATATTTGGGCTGTTACTGAATCCGCATGAATCGAAAAAGAGAGTCTTAGGCAGAGTTTAAAACAACAAACGCTTATTTATCACGATAACGCTATACCTTATACTATCAAGAAGTTTTTGGCCAAGTATTTAAATCCCTGTATTAGAACATCCACCATAATCACCGGATCTGGCATCGTGTGACTTTTATTTATTACCCAGAAACCAGATTTGAGACAGTAGAGCTGTAAAAAAAATCGGTGTAGACCATGAACATGCTTTAAGAAAATTATTAACAGAGATGCTGTGACCAATGGAAAATTTGCATAAGGCGGTGTGTAGAGATCGCGAAGAAGTATATTGAAGGCGTTAATGTTAAAATTAAAAGATTTTGTAGGACTAATCCGTTTTTTTTTCTAGCCACACCACATGATTGCTTCTATGGACTGTAAGCAGATAGTTATCCAGATAATTGGAGATTTTCAGAATTTTATTTCACTCTCTCCTTGTACTATCCTTATATTTTCTCTAAAATATCAATGACGATTCGTTCTAATATTGTGGAAACGGTGAGTCCAATTTCACAGCTTCCACCATGTAGCTACACAATATCAATTCATTTAAAAATACTGAACAATATTTTTTACATGTGATGTATTGAGGGCTCTATTCATTATGTATAAGCGTAGATGATAGGTACATGAACCTTTTCCTCTAGAACCATCAAATCATCATTGCAGCGTTCATTTTCAAATAAAAGCCTGCCAATTATGTAAAACTCTTGAGTAATAATCCGATCAGAATATGATTCACTGATCTTACACATAATACTGATACTTGTTTGGCATTCTGCTTCTTTCAACTTATTCAACAAAATCACAATAAGCGCTAAAGAAATCTTAAAATCTACTTAAAAGTATTGACTAGTCGTTGGTTATGGAAAAGGGAAGTCTTCTTCATCACAACTAGATTCTTGACTGGAGGGCGGTGTATCTAGTTGCGGCAATCCCAAATCCAAATATTCTTCGTTCGCTGTGATTGTCAATATTCGATCCAAGTCTTCTACGAGTTCTGAGAATACAGGACGTTCATTAGGTTGGTAACTCCAACATTCACGCATAAGCATGTAAATTTCCAGGGAACAACAAGGTGGTTTCTCCATCCTATGGCCGTTTCTTAACAACTGAAACAGCTTTTCCACACTTGGCACTGAAGGGTAAGGTGTACCTACAAAAGAACATTTAATTAGTAATCTGCTTTACTCCACTGAATCTTAATTGGCATTGGTAGTCGCTTAACACACTTATTCCAATGATATTCTAGGCTAAATTTAAATGATACATTTAAAAACAAAACACTGACCTCCCAAAGTCATGATCTCCCATAACAAAATTCCATAGGACCATACGTCTGACTGCGTCGTGTATACTCTGTGGAACAAAGCTTCTGGTGCCATCCATTTAACAGGCAATCGACCATCAGTTGTCTTTCTGTAATAGTCACTGCAGTGAATGTCTCTAGCTAAGCCAAAATCGGCTATTTTCAATATATAGTCGTCACTAACAAGAACATTTCTTGCAGCTAAATCTCTGTGAATGCACTGTAAAATGATATCAAATTAACATTGTGATAAATTAATTATTTCATAAGTTTTTACCCTTCTGGAAGCCAGATACTCCATGCCTCTAGCAACTTGATAAGCAAAGGACACCAAATCCTTTTGCGTTAAAGTCTTTTTCTCTCCAACTGCTAATTCGTAACCAGATGATGGCCTATGCTGCCGCAGAAAATCTCTGAGATTTCCAAATGGAGCATATTCCACGATTACAAATAGCGGACCACCTTGAGTACAACAACCTAATAAGTTTATGATGTTTATATGTTTTCCAATCATTTTCATCATCTCCATTTCAGACACAAGGTCCATCATCTCGTTGTCAGTATGGCCCTCTGAAAAAAGTGTTTTTTCGATATAATGTTCTATTCTTAGTGATAATCTTAATATCTATAATTACCTTTTAACATCTTAACGGCTACAACGCTTCTGTTTCCTGGTTTTATAATATTCGTCGCTTCAGCCTTAACTACTCGTCCAAATGCACCTTCTCCGAGGTTTTTTCCAAGTATTAAACAATTTCTGTTTATTTCCCAATCAGAATCCATGGGAAGTTCATATTCAGAAACCATCCCATCTTCAGCATTATTGGCTTGCAATTTTTGTTTTTCTATTTTCACAACCGGCATTAGCTATAATAAACATTGTTATTTCTTTATTCATTAAACATTATTCGATATTTATTACCAGTGGTTCTGAAACATTTTCTCTAGAGTTGTTGATTTTTTCAATAATAACTTTCTTGGTCCATTGGGTAACAATGGCTGCTCTGGCTGTTTCAACGGCAATCATTTTTTCCCTTTTTTCCCTAAAAATGACAATGAAAAAGTTGTAAAATTATTTAAAAAAATATGAAAACAAGATACTGTTTTTCCTTTTGTATCTACATGTAGTTTTTAAATTAATACAGTAAGAATTTAGCAATAGTTTTTATGTCATGTGTATAGATAGAGATTACAAAGCTGATCATTAACCTTAAGGTTATTATTTGCCATTTGACTTACAGGTAACCCAGTTGGGTTTAATACGAGGATAGATCGGTTAAAAATACGAGTAACTTTGCATTTTAATTTAAGATAAATATTATTTTCAAATTTTCAATTGAAGAGAGATCAGTAATTGTTGATACATTTCCAAACCACCTGTGCCACCTCAGTTGATGGAAAAAGTTAATAAAAGTCAATGAAGAAGACAGCGCCTTTCTCGAACTCCAATTACACCCTTCTTTAAGAAATTCTTAGAGCCAACACTGCTCTCATTACATATCGTACTTTGCATCTGAATTCCACGTTGTCTGATGTACCTATCTAAAATTATGTTAGTCTCAGATCCCTATCAATTTCAAATTTTTCTGATGTTTGACCATTAACAAGCACTTAATAATTTGTTTCAGACACTGCCATTTTAATTAGTCTGGTTTTCTAGTATTCGTAATTTTACTTATTAACGTTTAAAAATTTTTTGAATTATTTTTTAGTGGGACGTAGAAAAAATTTACTATAACTCGACTAGATCATGCTTATCGCACTCATATATTATCTTCGTGCGATATGGCCATCAGATTTATTCACTCTTGTTGCCCAAACAACTGTAGAACATAGTTAATATACAAATTTTGGTTTTTATATTTGTACAGTTTCATCCTAAAATTAATTAAATTATGTATTTACTCGTACATAAACATATTTAAATTATCATTATCCTATGGCTTGTTGCGCCCTTAATAAGCGGTTTGAACATAGGTTCATGAGACAAACTCTAGTCATTTTTTAGGTGTTTTATATTCATCACCCCTAGAACTATTTCTCTACAATTTTGTTTCACCTTGTATATTAAATTAGCAAATGAAAGAAACATAATTTTCAGTAGGTATCTAAGAACTATTGCTCGACAATTATGTTTCACCCTGTATATTAAATTAGCAAACGAAATAAACATAATTTTCTGGATCTAAGTCGCCTATGAAGAAATTTAATTATTCAAAAATGGCTACTAATTGTGACAGATAATTCAGAACATTTTTAAAAATTATATTGTTTGGTGTTAGAAAAATGAAAAATCAATTTTGCTACAAGAATTTGATAAATAAGGTGAGATTTTTGTTATTTAAAATATACTGAACTGCAGAATAATGTGGTGAGAGTTGCCGTGTTCTCATTCTAGAAGATACCTACCCTATGTTGACTTTACAGACACGAATTTCAAAATATTTTTTGTATTATTATATAGTAGTAGTTAAATATTATTAAAATGAATTTAAAATTGCGGATTATCCACCTTAAAGCGGGAAAAGGAAAGATAAAATATCAAAAAAAGCACCTTATAAAAAATATTTTGACGTAGCTGTACAGGGTTGCCAAGCGTTTTGATATGTGAGAAGATATATTATCTTATTTTTAAATTCATAAATTATAATGAATTAACAAATTTTGTAAACTATAGAGGTGATATAATTTTAAAAAAATGTCCTTGCCAACTTGTAAAAATCGTATAACTAAGCTACTATTTGACAATCAGGGCGTTATATGACGAAGAGGGCATTATTTTTTCTCTAATTCTTCAAACTACTAACTCATCGGTTATAAATGCAAAAAAAATGTTAAAAAAACTTGTTTAAAAAAATGTTTTGTTTTGATTATATATACATATTTTTTTTTTATTCATTCGTATTCACGTATTTTCATACTATTTTTTTACTTTTATTCAGGCTTTTGAGGAAGAACATTTTTTAACTGATCAAAAGTCCTTTTGGCCGTTTGTATGTTTTATTTGTAAATAGTTAATATGAGGTCAATAAAATTTATTATTATTATTATTTCCAAGTTATGCAGAATGATTTAACAAGATTCTTTTCTTGAAGTGTAAGATACATTTTTTCCCAACAATAAATTTAATATCTTTTGCTAATGTTAATGTATCTATGTGGTTTTTTAAAATATTAATATTTGCACAATTTTTTAATCAAATCGAAAGTTCATTGAACAATTTTGGACTTTGGACTTGTTGCATTATAGCTTATACAGGGTGTTTCTAAATTCATGCAAAAAAGTTCAGGATGAAGTTCTTCATTAAAAATTATGAAGAATCGGTCCTATAACAACATTTTCTCGACCCCCGAAAACATATAAATAAATTGAGGTTGAATATTAGAAATTAGATATATTATTAATTTGTTTTTTACTTGTTTTTCTTAGAACTAATAGTTATAGAGGAAAATAGAATTTAAATTCAAAACAACGTATGTACCATACATATTTTATTTTTTTTTTGTTCGAAACCTAGTGTTTTATGCAAAAAAACAAGAAAAGAGTTGTAAATTTAACCCCCCTATAACATATTGGATTTACAGACAAAAGTACTCCTAATCACCTCTTTGCGAGTGTCTGTAATTTTTAAAATTTTAGGTTTCTACGTAAAACTCAATTATACAATTTTCGGGGGGCAACGTATCTTAAGGGGGTTGGGCTGAGAACATTTTCTTATACGATCGATAAAGAATCTTGTCCTCAATTTTTTTTGTAGTAATTTAGAATCATCTTGTATTATCTTGCATACGACACGTAGCTCATCAACTTGTCTCGTTTGATAACTATGATCATCTAACAAAAGTCACAAAACAATATTTGTTTTTAAAGATGTACACGCCAATTTCAAAAATATACAAAAATGGAATTAAGAGTATTCCATAATTTTAAAAATATGTGGATGCTGAACATCGATATAAAAAAGTTGAGAAATGTTAAAATGACCCATCTATAAATAATAGTAGACAGACTTAGTAGAATATAGAATAGTCTTTAAAAAGAGAGGAATTGCAAAAAATGTATTGTCTTTTTAGGTTCCTTCAATAAATATCCTCTCTTTTTGACATTTTCAAGATTTCCTTTTACTAATTGTTGTTTTTCATTTAGGCGAATTACCGTAAAAGAAATTTAAATCGCCGTAAATTTTTCGAGTTAATCGGTAGTACGATGTCAATGGTCTGAGCTCATGTTCATTTTACCTCTGACAATCAATACGTATGATCTTCGAAAATAAATGTCCCTTGAAGTTCCTGGAGAAGTGGAAAGATACTGAAGTTGGAATGAGGGGCTTTAAATGGTGAGTGTTTTTATTTAAATTTGTTTTGTGTAAACAAATTATTACACCATACAATAATAATAATAATAATACCAATTGGAAGGATAATATATACATTTTAGAAACATTCCGATCTATCCTCGTAGTATTTATAATGTTTAAAGTCAAGTAAAATAAAAACAAATATATGTTACCTCTTGATTTTTTGGCGGTAGTGAATACAGATGAAAGATATAACGAATACTACAAAAATACCGACAATACCAACAACCACTATTATAATGCTGTAATTGGTTTTTGATTGGTTCTGTTCTTCTAAGTACACAACTGCAATAAAATGAGATAGTATAGATGAAGCAAACTTGATTTTTAAAATGATTCTAACCTGGTTGTTCGTCGACCACTTGAAGATAGGCCCTTGATACAGTGGTTCCAAGGCTATTCGAAGCAAAACAAGCATACCATCCTTCATCATCATGTGTTACATTAAAAATATCGTATTCCTCTGGGTTCATTTTTCCATCGTCACTGGTCTAGATAAAGGAAAAATAAATATATAAAAAACATTGTATATAAATATGTATAAATAATTAAAATATTTTACGTAAACTGACAAAACATTGACCACGTATTACAAGTTTAATAACACAATACACATAAAATTATTACCACATTCACCCCTGTTGATTTATAGGTTGTTATTAAGTGTAATTTGAGAGATTTGGAGAATATGAGACAACAAGTTGCTAAAACCCAATTTATTTTCACTTGTTTATAAATTTTTGATCTTCTACATAGCAATAATTGTAGTTATATAGATATCTTATAATTAACATGGTACATGGTTGAATAAGAGGATTTTTATATCGTCACTATGTGTCATAAAAAAACAATAGTACGTATGAGGATGGGATGAAAAGTTTTATGGCCTAACCCATAGTTGTCGCGATTTGCCTTCATAGCTCCATGATTTGTTAGTTTTGCAAAAGTTCATCAGTTAGGCTTCAAGCGAGTTTCTCATGCATCTTAACCAGATTTAACTTCATCGGATTTCCATTGGTTTCCAAATTTGGAAAAAATGCTGTCACAATCGCCTTGACAAATCAGCCTACAGCGATAGCATAAAGACTATTAAGCACCGATGGAATAAATGTATTGTGTAGAAAAATAAAAAATAGTGCTTAGGATAAAATCTTTTCACCCCATCCTCGTATAAATAACAAACAATCTTTAAAACCTAAAGTATTAAAACAAAATGGAAATATTTTTTTAGTTATTGTTAATATACCTGAAGCCTTATAGCATTGCAATCCTTTATATCTTCATACGAACAGTTAGAATTATTGTACGGTAACTTGGTCCATACAATGAAGGGATGCAAGTCAGACACAAACTGGCAACTAAGGGAAACATTTTCCCCAACAACTATCGTCATATTACCAAGTCCGTTTGTTAAAATAGGGGTGTTGTGATATCGCTCTAGAAATAAAATTTTACCGTCACCACACATTGAAAGTATTAAATCACATTTTAAATGAGTAATAACGTAGACAGACCACCACCTTTTGTTAAGACAATAATAGCTCTTACCACAGTTTAGAAATATCCACATTCGTTTGGTAATTTGTTTGTTTTAAATATTATACAAGGTTCATGCTGAATTTTCATAGAATTATCTACCGTCGATATCTCTTATTTGAAAGCATTTGACAGAATAAATCATGGAATTTACTTTAGTTTATTTCCTATTATTGCTAATTTGGTAAATGTTCAGATGATACAACAATTGTCTCTTTTATAATAGTCATCAGCCATCACCAACTAGAGACCATTATTATTTTCATTATTTTTTAATGACTTAGACCAGGGGACTCCAAACATTTTAGACTAAGGCCACACTAAAATATTTTACCTTCATATACGGCAGTTCTATATTATTCCTTATTATTTCATTATAGAACTGTTCTATTATTATTCTTTAACACATTTTTACATTAGCGAAAAAGTAGCTTATTAGATACTCCTATAGACCTAATCTGTAATAAACGTTTTACTGAAATAGCCAATGTAGTAATATTTTTATTTCTCAATAGTAAGTTATAGAACAGTCAATTAAAAAATATAAATAAGCAATAACATTTGGTCCAGCCATATTTGCCAACTAATAAACGGTCACTTATCAACGTTATGTGTTTCTCTAAATTAATAAAAAATCAAAGTCACTTGTTTAATTTAATTGTAAACTGTAAATTTTACAATGTAATCAAAGTAAACTGAGTCCGAAATTTTTTGAGAATGGAGACTCCTGACTTAAGACAGTAAATATGCTTTTTATTTATTGACTTCAATTCTAATACTAGGGAAAGATTTGTATAGCTTTCAAAATTCAGCATGTTACCCATTATACCACATTATTTTTTTAATTAATATTTCTAAATATTATTTATATCGCATGTGTTAATAATGGAGACTATTTTGAACCAATACAAATACATAATATTATCTAACGACCCTCCTATTTCTTGAAACTAAAGATAACAGAAGAAGGACGAATAGATAATAAAAAATAATAATTTGAATACGTAATAGTTTTTATAGTATAAAATCTAATAATGTGGTATCATAATATTTCTTAACACTAATAAATTTTATATTTTCCATCACCAACGTACGAGATATATAAAAACAAAATAACCTGCTCCAATTTTGTCCAATTTAATTTACTTATGTCGTCTTCAGTTATTTCAGTCTGATTTAACTTAAACCACTGAATGAAAGGCTCCAAATCAACGATAATTTGAGGACATTCGAATGTAACGTTTGTGTTGATCAAAATTGTTTGGTTTTGAGGGTATCCATCTTTTATGTAAGGTTTGGAGGGGTACCTCTCTGTTAAAAATATATAAAAATGTTTGTTTATATAATAAAAAAAAATATATTTTTTTTTTAGGGGAAAATTATTGATATATCTAATTATCTATTTGATCTTAGAACATCGAATATATTGATGAAATTGTTCTAGATGTGGCTAACAAAAGCTAGAAAGCCAGCAGGCAGCTGTTGATTTATGTTAATATTATCTGTCACAGTTTAATTTATGAGATTTAAGAGATTATCTGTTACAATACCAGCTAAAAAATGGACAACCCCATAAAATAACTCCAGGTCAGGCTAACAGAATAGCCGAACGTCTCAAAAATACCATTTGACAGTTACCCCACGGCACTTAGGCCTCATTAGGCCCATTGTGCATCCTCCTGATATGATAGGCACCTCCTAGCCAGTCTACAGATTTAATGTAGTTGACAACGTCGCCAAGAGGTGCTTCTCTTATATCAGCCGGTGTTAGCCGATACTAGCCGAACCTAAATCTTCTAATAAGTGAGAGCGTCGAGAAATCGTAAAGGATATGCTTGATGGTATCATCTTCTTGTTCGCACCCTCTGCAGAGTGCGGATTCTGACAGCCCCATGATATGGAGATGCTTTCGTACTTGGAAATGACCAGTCAGAATGCCTGTGACTAGGTGCAGAGTCTGTCTAGTCATAGTCAAGTATTTGTTTGCTGCAGTGTTGTCAGGATAACTTAAAAGCTCCCTGACAACTCTGCAGTTTTTTGTTTCATTCCATCTTTCCTTTAATTTCACAAGGGAATGTTCTTTGATTATTTCTGTCACTACCGATTTTGTCAGGCCAATAGAAGGGCCAGGTCCAAAAGGTATTTGGTTGGCTGCTTTCTTGGCTAGTGAATCAGCAAGACGGTTACCTTTCGATGTGGCGTGACCTTTAATCCATCTTAAGGTGACCACATTGTTGATGGATACTTCGGCCAAAGCTTCCTGACATTCTAGTACTAACCCTGAATAAATTCGTGGTCTGTTCAGGGTGAGTAGTGCTTGTCTGCTATCTGTATAGATAAGCATGTTCCTTCCAGTGATATTGTTTCTGGTTATTTCTTTTGCTACTATGGAAAGAGTCAATTCCACCACAGCCAGCACGCATACCAAGCAGGAAAATGGACAAAAACTGCCCTAGTATAAACAAAGAAATGGTCGTTTGTGCCTTCTTAGACATAGAAGGAACTTTTGACAACACCCCGCACGAATCGATCAAAAGAGCACTAGTATACAGAGGAGTAGATAGCACCACATCCAGATGGATGGCTCAGCTGCTAGCTACAAGAACTGCAGGACACGCATAAGGCAGGACACCGTCTTCATATATACGACCATAGGAGTTATATATATCCACAAATGTGGAGCCTAAGCGTAGACGAACTTCTATGCAGATCAACTAATGGCATAATCTGTCAAGAAGAAAGTCATAAATAAGGCCACAGAAGCCCTAATTGCGTAAACAAGATGTATACAACAATAGTAAGATCAATCATCACTTACGGGGCTATAGCCTAGAGTAACAGAACTAGTTTAGCTACTATGAGAACTAATATCTTAAAGGTACGAAGACTAGCTTGTGTTTCGATTGCAGTAAACAATTTTCCTTAATAGTATATATTGTTGCAAATACAACATACTCGTATTGTAACAATTTCATTTTTCAAACTTGAAGGCAGCATTAAACTTTTTTCTATTAACTTTTGATGCAAAGAGTTTCAAGTTTTAGCTTCCATGATATTAGCAGGGGCTGCAACAAAGTGTTTTCTTCATGTTTTACGAGGTAATAATGGAAGAAAAATTCGTAATTTAGTTCTATATTCTTTGGAAGTCCCCAGATAAATTTTTCTAAATCACCCATACAAAATATTGAAACACATTTAGCACTTTCACAAGAGTTTCTGTCTACTTAGCAGTTCTAATTTAATTTCATTTATTTCGATCGTAGATCTCCGAAATCTAAAATCTTAATCTTTACATTAAAAAAGATATAGGTGAGTTTTATTATTATTTATTACACTGTTCTTAAACGGGCCTTAAAATATTTGTAATATGTACGTATCAAAAATTAACTTACCGACTACATCGACCGAAAAAGTATTATTAATACAACCAAGTATGTTACAAACAACACAAGTATAGTTTCCTCTATCTGTTGGTACCGAATCCTCTAAAGTTAGTGCCCAATGGTTGAATTTAATATCACCCAATTTCCTAGTAGGTGGAGATTTGTCTTCTCGGTACCAAGTAATATTTGGAGTGGGAAAACCTGAAGCTCTACAATTAAGTCTAACCATGTTGCCGGCAGGTTTGACTACTAATTTTTGAGGATTCTTTTTTAAAAAACTAGGAGCTTCAAAGACAGTTATGTTGAATTTTTTTATTAATGTATCATTTATGAAACATCCGTATAGGCTGTGGATTTTTGGAATAAATTCGTAGACAGCTGTGTTATTCTAAAAAAATTTAAATAAAAAACTTGAAAAAAAAAATATAAGAAATATTAGTACTTTTAGTATTTCCCCAGCAGTGTCTTCGTTACTAACTAAATGTCTCCAAGATAAATGGCTTGCATTTTTCGGACATTGCAAAATCACAGAATTATTCGCTACTGCCGTAATATTTTCAAAAGTATCAATTACATAGTTGTCATCATAATCAAAATCTAAAAAATAAAAATGTCACAGAGATGGATATGCAGAGTAATCACCCTGTATGTACAATATTTAGGTAGCTACAAAGAATGCGCGTTAAGCTGCTATTATATATTGTTTTTTTCTGTATTTTTCTCTAAATCTGACTTATTAAATTATAGAATATCAAATCAAAACGTTGCCAAATAAAATGAGAAAGTTACCAGCATAATTAATTATGCCGACATTTATAAACTTAGATTAAAAAACCCAGAAATGTAGAAGGCAGACAGAAAGAGAGGGGGGGGGTAACAGTACATTTGTACTGTAGTATTTAAAAAAATATATAATTTCCCAATGTTTACGCCACTGCGTGATATAAAATTTAATTTCCCTAATCGCGTAGGTTGTCTGAACCTCATCGTAAATTGACGTTTAAAATATTTAAGCTCGAACAACAAAAGTTAAGAAAAAATAAAAAAACGATAAACACAAATATCTTCTATTTAAAAATCTAAATGTGCCATTATGATTTTCATACCAACCTGACGAAGTAACAGCATGTGCTCGCTTGTCATTAGAAATACACAGGGCTAAAACCATGAAGTGCCAGATGTAAACTTCCATGATTTATATCCAGCCAGATTCTGTAAATAAAGTAAATATTATTATTGCTTTTTCTTAAAACAGTCATTGCTTTCTTTGGTTTCACTTAGAACTACGTCAAATTTAACTTCCTCCGTGATAAGAAACTATTTTTATGATTCTGAATTTACATAGCCATTATTTGAATCAGACAGGATATTAAAGAGGTTTAAAGAACGTATCCAATGAATTTATTTAATGATTTTACTTTTGTGTATATTCTAATGACAATAAATCAATGATATGAGGCTATATTTTAAAATTGAAACCTATCCTGTGTTATATAAGGGTGAGTTGAAAAGTTCTCGAAATGTACTAGAAAAACAAATAAACCCTTAAAAGGTGTCAACAGAGACAATCCAGCGAGACGTGTAACTCAATGTATTTTTTTTGTTCGGTAAAACTTATTTGGGCGATTGTAACCACAACCAGTCTATGATGGCGCCACTAGTAAATAGCGGGAAAATTAAAAATGCTTTAGGGCGGGAAATTCAAACATGGATTCAGAAATCGTTTTTGTATACAACAAATTTACAAGAGAAACAAAAACTATTGTTTCACTGTTTATTAAAAAAATATAAAAGCTTCCAATAACATCAAATTTTTTATCATATAAATAATCATTTTAATAAAGGAAGTTTTAATCAGTTTAATATAAGCAGTGAACATAGTTTTTATTACTCTTGTAAATTTCGCTAAAAAAACTTGAAAATTCTATTGATTATTAAATATTTAAACTTTGAAAAATAATACACCAAACTCTTTTTCTATAAATTATATTTTTTTAAGGTACAGAAAAACAAACTACAATTGCTATGTTTAGAAAGTACCTCCTATCATTTTGTGACAAATTACAAAGAAAGTAACAATTGTTATATATTCATAATATATTTAAGAACTAATGTAACAAATATTTTATAAAGTATAGAGTATATCGATACCTTTTTGCCAGACTATCATAAGTGCCATTTGAACAAATGTCGTTTATGTTAGTCTGGCAAAAAGGTATCGATATGTTATGACTGTTTATTTTAATAGAAACCATGGAAATGAAACAAACACAGATACACTCAACACAAATGTATAAGGCCTGAGTCGAGTTCCCATCCTGTAAACTGGACCTCTTATAGTAATCAAGATCAATAGATTTATATGCCATGCCTTCTAAAAGGGAATGAAGGATGACATACTATCATCATTTAAACAGGACATTGCTGAAGGCTTACCCCTGTTATTTCGTTTGTTTGTGTATCTTGTGTGTGTGCATTCCTGTTGTGTCCCCAGTCATGTAAAAGTTTTCCTAGTCTCCTAATTTGATTACTAGGTGGACCTTCTCCAACTAGTAGTCTAATCTATTCGATCTGTTCGGAAGCAGGAGCTACTTTTCAAACATAGCAAATAATATTAATAATAAACACTATTTAAAGATAAATACATTTTTGTAATTTTTTTGTCATTGCCCCTTACCTTTCTCTTACACCACCAGGGTATACCTATTTTCCATATTCCCTTAATTATAGATTACCTTACAATGTTCGAATGAATATAACATTTTACTCATGAAAAAGCTAATTTCATATTCAATTTCATTTGAAACAATAATTGGTACCTATATTACAATTTATTATCAAAGAAAATTTCTAATAAAGTTATAGCAAATCCTACTTAAACTACTGGTTGTTCTGCAGGATAAATTAACTTTTCTTGAGATTGATCTCTCTATAAAATCCAAAACCGACCTGATGTCCCCAAATTTATTTTCCAATGCATCCTGATTTAAAATTCTGCCCTTTTGTGATTCAATTTTTTTTTCTTCCTTTAGAGTGGCTGTTAGAGGTAGGTGTATGTAAGAAATAGCTAATCTCTAATCATTTCAAAAGTCCTTTGCCAATACTACATGTGCAGATTTTTTACTCAGCATACATTTTACTTTTCTAGTAGATAGGAACTTTGTGCTGCCATTAAAGCTGTCCAGACATTCATCTACCTACTTACAATGGATCTCTGTTCCAATTCACCTAAAATAATTATAGTCATTGTGTAATATATTATTAAACACACACATTATACAGTGGTTTTCTTAATAAATTGGAAATTACTTACTCTAGAGAGAAATGTGTACAAAAACGCGAGTTTGGTTCCAGAAATTGCTTCATGCAAAAAATAATATGCAAAAATAAACAGTCCCCCCCAAAGAAAATTAATTAAACAACAAAATCAGACTAAAAGAAATATACGGGGCCCAAATTAAATTAATTTTAATAAAATGCACATGTTCATAACAACATTCATAACATTGTCAGTTGTCAGTTTTAATACTTTTAATCGATATTTCTACGTCAAAAAACCAGCAACACCAGCGCCCTCTGAAAATGGTGTTAGTTTTATTGGAGAGAGATAGACATATGTAAAGATCAATGTAAAAGAAAAAGAGGGTCATATATGTAATTTAAATGGACCACCGAACATATTTTCCTATTAAGTTACACGTCTCTGTTGTCTCTGGTGTCAAGGTACATAATTAAATTTATTATAAATTAATCATGGTCAATTTATTCGATTTTTTACGCATTATCATTATATTTATCTTTCATTTTTATAAACCTAGTGATAGTCAACTTAAGGATAATCAAGTAACAATTTTGAGTACTTACTATATGCTCTAAGAATGTTTACATAACAAATATTATACAAGTTTTGTTCTAAGCATAATGTACAGTCTGTTCGCCATACTTAAGCGGGTTTCGGATTAAAAATTTTATGAGTATTTCCAGATAAGTACCCGAAAGTTTGACCTTTTCTTTGGGAAAATATCAACTGGTTAAATGAAATGAAAAATGTACAACTTTTTAATTAAATAATAATGGAGAATCTTTTGTATAATTGAGAGCAGAATTAAACTTCTTCATTAATGGAGTCTAATGTGGCTATTATAAACCTAATAATAATTTTATATTACACTTCACACATAAAATATGGTCTCAAATTAAATTATCATAATTTAGGTAGGTTTACAATGATTTAAATTTTTTTTAAAATGTAGTAATAAGATACTAAGCTAACGAATAGTGGTGATAGAACTGGATTATTTTATACAGTGTGTTTTGAAAAACAAGTCATAAATATGGCTAATTCCAAGTTAAATTTATTTAATTTATTTCAAATGCCACACTCTGTATATTATTTAAGCATACAATTCCTTATAAAATTACATATCCAACGATACCAATATGTTAGTCAATAACACATATACAGGGTGTCCCATGAGTGCGTAATTGATCGATAGCAGTTTTATAATAGGAAATACGAAAAAAATTAATATAAAAGTCGTATGACCATATTTAACAATTAATCATAAACCATTGTCTGACCAAACCTATACATTTTTAATGCAAAACACCCTGCAACTAGTTATACATATTTGACTGTTTTCACATTGTCGAACAATAATTTCAATTTCATTCAGTTGCTATGTTGTATATACGGTGTGTCAAAATGGTTACGATTTTCTCAATTTTCTAAATGGAACACCCTATATGTTATGCCACTATTTAATTAATACAGGGTATTCCATTGAAAAAAATTTAAATATTTGTAACCTCGTGTGTTGACACACACTATATATAACATAGCAAATGAATGAAGTCAATTAAAATTATTTGACGACGTGAAAACAATCAAATATGTAGGGTGCAGGGTGTTTTGCTTTAAAAATGTATAGGTTTGGTCAACAATAATAAAACAGCTATCGATCAATTGCGCATTGATGGGACACTCTGTATATATGTTATTCTCTAACATGTTGGTATCGTTGAATATGCAAATTATAAGGAATTGTATGCTAAAATATTATTCCCCTATACAGGGTGTTTGATAAGTACGGTACATATCTTCAGGAGCGTATTCTGGAGCTAAAATAAAGGCATTTTTGTCATATATACTATGTCTCAAAAATGCTTCGTTACGGAAATACAGGGTGTGAAAGTTACCTTGTCCGCACGCCACTGGTTAAACGAAAGCCACTGTGTTTACAGTAAAACACGCAACGTTGCTAACTCTCAAAAGCTGCAAAAATTTAATTAAAATATCTCAAGTGGTTTTGGAAATATTTAAAAAATTGTATTTTTTACTTTCCTATCTGTATACAGATATAAGGAAAGTATAGGAATCATGATTTTTTTCGACCTCGAGTTTTCGACGGATTTTTACGTTTTGAGGTCCCCTGAATCCGTTTTGACTATTTTCGCGATGATGTCTGTGTGTGTGGGTGTGTCTGTATAACGCATAACTCATGAACCGATACACGGAAAAACACCAAATTTCAAACTTAAGCTTTGTTCCAGCGTCTAATGAGCTGATTAGATTTTGGGCAGAGTCGGAACATCTGGGGGGGGGGTACTTTATAGGTGGTCATTTTTATATTTCATGGAATATATCTGTTATTTACGTTTGGAGAAGAAAATTCTTCAAATAAAAGTTACTTTTAATATAATTAGCTATAATTTTTGTTCTATGAAAAATTTTCCTAAAATGGTCCGTATTCGAGAAATTTGACAAAATGTAAAAAAAATAATTTTTTATAAAAATTGTTCAAATAAAAGTTTTTTGTAATATAATTCTCTATAATTTTTATTCTATACATAATTTCTCTAAAATGGACCGTATTCGAGATATTTGAGAAAATGTGTAAATTTCGAATTTTGAAGAAAACTCAAAAACGGATAAAGAAAAAAACATTAAATTTTAAACTTAAGGTTTATTTCGGCCTGACGTGAAATGATTAGATTTTAGACATAGTCGAAACATCTGGGGGGGGTACTTTATGGGAGGCCACTTTTATATTTTATGGAATATATCTGTTATTAATGTTTGGAGAAAAAAATTGTTCAAATAAAAGTTACTTCTAATATTATTATCTATAATTTTTGTTTTATGTAAAAATTTCCTGAAATGGTCCGTATTCGAGAAATTTGACAAAATGTGCAAAATTCTGAATTTTATG